TTCGTGGGTGCAGCAATTTTTGTCGTTGCATTAACACGGTGGAAAAACAACCGCCATCGGCGGGCTCGGCTGCGTTTTCACAGGCGTGTGTCACCTCAGCTTTTCGCGGTTTACACGCTGCTCTGGGCAACTGCGCGCGCGTGTTCGTGCACGCGTCGTTCAACACGCGTGTGAACGGGCTCGATCAACCGGCGATATTTGATTTCTGTAACCGAAAAATCGAGAGATTACTTGGAAACTTTTAAACTGACGCAAGCTAGAAAACCGCTGAAACACCGGTATACGCGTGTAGATCCACGGGTATGGATTGTGTAATCTCTGTTTTTTTCATGTTGCGACTCTTTTTCTAACGATTCGGCGCATAGATACGTGTGTACACCCGTTTCCCTTTCTTTGTCACGTATTTTACGCGTATAACGGACAAAAAGGACAAACGTTGGTACACGTGGATAAATTTGACGCGGTAAGTTTTTACTTTTAGATACACGTGCAACATTGAATTTGATGGGCTAATACAATCCCGTTACTTTTGTATAAATCTAGTCGCGTTATCAGATACAAAGTGTATTTTATATCGTTAGAACAGGATATAAAAAAGTTAGAATACATGTAAGAAAAAAGAAGCAAAAGGAAATTTAAAAAAATAATGGTCAATTATTCTTTAATAATCCTTTACAAAATCGTTACATAATCGCGCTATAATTATCCAAAGGTACATAATACCCTTGAAGGAGTAGAAGGATTAAATCCGATTCGGAAATAATTTATCACGCACGAAACAAAGATTGGAAACGAAAGTTGAAAAGAAATCCTGACGGTGCAGCGGGTTAATCGATTCCACGATGGAAGGCGATCCTTAAAAGGTCAACTCGCTCAGATCGTAGAAAAAAAGAGAGAGAGAGAGAGAGGGGCAGTGTCTTTGACTTCCTCGGGACCGCTTCGTGATCGGTTCGCAGAAAACGTTTCTTTCTCTCTTTTTTCCCCACTCTCGACCTCTCGACTCGGCTCGAATCCCCGACGATCTCTAATGCATGCAAATCACCGTGAATCCCAAGATCTTCGAGCTTTCTCTGGCGCCGCGCGAGATTACATATCACTCGCCTCTTCGCGCGGCATTTTCCAAGAAACGATTTTCCTCGCCAATCGGTTCGACCAAGTGCTATAAAACAGGAAGAAAAGAAAAAAAAAAAAAAAAAAAGAAAAAAAGAGGAACCAGCGCGAGAAAAAACCGGAAAAGAGATGAAAAGATTGGAAACGAAACGAACGTACATATTACATTTATATTCATATCCGTAATCACACTTTACACCGAGGCAGACGATTATAGACAAAGTTTCCACGGATTCTTCGTACGGCAAAATTCACTTGATGTTTCAGACACGTGTCTCGATTCCACAACAACGGAGACCGGTAATTTTCTCCTGCATCAAGCTTTTCACGCGCGCATATTCCCGCCGCGCTCTCTAGTGTTTGCAGATATCACAGAGGCCCTGTCCTGGTGAGATTGCGGCCATGAAGGGGGACGAGGAAGACGGAAGATGGTAACAACGTTGGACAGAGACGACGCGCCCTCGAAAAGGGCGCGTTGTAGGTGAAACAAGTACGAGAGAGGGAGTAACAACGAGAGTAACAACGGGAGGAGTGGCATGCAAAAGGAGGAGCTCGTAGGATAAAGCTCGAGTGGGTTATGAAGTGGGTGGTGGGAAAGGAGAAAAGCGGCGGAAACTGGAGGGAGGAGAGATGTGGCGAAACTAGTGCTAGTTCGTTAGCGGTTGAGGGAGAGGGATGGATATACAAAGCGATGAGAGAGGTGGATGGTGTGGAATAGCGAAGGCATAAGGGATGAACGGTGCGCGAGAAGCGGGACAAAGAGGGTTATAGAGATGGAAGGAGGACGAGACGCACGTTGGCGCGTTTATTAGTGTCCAATTGTGAAAGGAGAGAGAGAGAGAGAGAGAGAGAGAGAGAGAGAGAGAGAGGCGCGGGGTAACACGAAAGCGAGCGCGTGAACTCGCTCATTTGCGTGCCTGTTAATTTGCCACGTTTGTGTGAGCACCGTGCCGTGCCGCGGCACGCACAACCGAGCCACGCCGATGGACAGAGAGAAAATTAGCGCTTTGAGTGTGGGTGCCTGACCGCCTGCCAGCTCGGACATTGGGGCTTCCCCGTGTCGCGGCTGGTGTACGTGCGCGTCGGCCTCGCGTATAGGTACCAACGCTTGGGTGGTCCCCTGCGGTACGTTGGATAAAAATCGGCCGACATTCGACGCCTGCTATTTTTTTCCCCCTCCCCGCTTTTTTTTCCTCCTTTTATTTCTTGTGCTTTTTTTTTTTTTTTGAGCTACCAACGATGAAAACGCCACTAAGCTAGTGTTTTTCAACTTTTTTTTGTTTGGAGCTGTCTCTTCCCGTAATATATTTGACTTAACGAGGCTTCGTACGAAGTTTCTAATGTTTATCCGTCTTTATCGTCATTATCGTTTGCTTTTATTTTTTTCGTGTCGCAGACAAAACCTTAGGTAAATATAGATTTTTTTATTATATTTTTATTGTATTTGTGCGCGAGCAAGGAACAGCTTGTTTTTTTTTAAATTTACAATTTTAAAATTCTGATAAAAGTAAACGCGCAACTCGTACATTGCACTTTATAGTACAACATGAATATTCATACGTGTTATTCATATGGTATCACATTATATGGAGCGATGAATAAAATAACGATAAAAATCTCTTTGAATGTAAAATTGACTTCGAATAAACGTTAAAAAAAAAAAAAATCCCGAATAAAACAACAGTTCTTAGAATTTTAAAATGGATAAAGATTTTGCAACAAAATCCATCGCATTCTTAACGATCGTAATCGATCAACCGTGAATCTCTATCGAATCCTCATTCTACGAAACTGATTCCTAAGCGTCGAAAAATTTTCCATCTTCCCGGTGGTCTCGAACGAGGAGATCGACAAAGCGTGAAGATACCTGAGCCATGGAACGTGAAAAACCTGGAAACGAGTTTCCCTCGATTTTACGGTGACGGTCAGCCGCCTGATTCGAGACCGAGGCGGGAAAACCGAGCGATGGAAGGCGTGACGACACGGTACACGAGCGTGAAAGGTAGACGGGTTTCCGCGAAATTGAACATCGACGTGGCAGCGTAACAGAGCAGAGGCTCGCGGCACGGATAAGCTCAAGTTACCGCTAACGATCCTGAATGATAGCGGTCCGCTTATTACGCCGTTGCCCATCCGTTTTTACGCGTAAAATGGAGATTACACGGTGTCCAGGCACGATCACGATCGATCAAGTCGTCGCGCCGCTGTGTATCCGTTTCTGGAAACACGCGATGCAATACGGTTCGCTTGACAAGCACGGACGGTTGGCGGACGATTGCCGTTCCACGCGGAAAATGGCGTTTCTAACGAAATAAAACGATCGTAGGTAGGCCCTCTCACGGACCGATTGAACGGGTACCGGTCGATTAAGTCGTTACGCCGCGTTTGACACGATCGAACGGGCACAGACTCTCCGCACTCGTTAATCCTCTTACCGCAGAACAAACTCTACCCGGTGTAAACGATTAAAGCGATGACGTAAAGGAGAGGAAACCAGTCAGAGGCGTTGAGTAGCGGCACGGGCATGCCACAACAGCCTTCTATATTTCCTAATAAAACGGCCAGGAATGAGAGAGCGAGCGGGCGCGCGCGGGAATAAATAAAGCTGCGACCGGCTGTTCGCTTCCCCGTTTACCGAATTAACCGTAATAACCGATGCATTTAGCCGCGACATTCAAAACTTGTGCACGAAATACCATCGGCTACCCCCACTCTCGCTATATCCCCTCCACGCGAGGAGCGGTCGACTGGCCCTCCCCACCACTTTTAACAGCGCCACCGGCGGAACTCCATCCGTCCTGCCGCGCCGCATATCATTACCATGCAAATACGCTTGGCGTGCGGCAAAGCCCGTGTAAAATCGCTCAACCCCTTTTCCTCGCGCTTCGCTTCATCCATCCCACTGTCCGTCCTCGTTCCTCGTTCCTCGTACGGCGTCACCCTCGTCCCTCCTCCCACACAGTGTCCACTCCGGTTCCCACTTCGCACCAGCTACCCAGTCACATATGCAAAACGTGCCACTATTATAATAACATTACGCCGATGAACCTTCCATTGAATATGCGCTCCACGATCGTGGATTGCATCGCTAATTATCTACCGGGTGGCGTGATTCGCACGGGGCTCGACCGATCACGATTTTGCCACGCGCCCTTTCTTCCCTCCTCGTTTTTCCTTCGCGTCACCGGTGATCATCGATGATCCTGTCTCTCTTCTCTTCCCCTCCTTTTTCTCCCTCTTTTTTTTTTTTTTCATATTCGTTTCGCGGGTATACGCCGCAATTCGTTTCCCGTGGAAATCGCGTGAAACGCGAGAAACGAAACGGCGCGGCGTCCGACACGTATGCGGTTCCGGTTTTTTTTTATTTTTATTTTTTCTCTCTTTTTTTTTTTTTTTTTTTTGCATCGACGAAACGGTATCGTAATTTTCGCGACACGATACGCCACCGTTGTGACTAAATATTGTTGACGCCAACGTGCCGCGCTCTCTTTCCCTCCTCGTAGCACACCTCTCTATCGTATCGTGGCGATTCCACGCTGGCCAACGTTGACACGTTTATGGGCGCGGAAGCTCCGGGGACCTGGGCAGCGTGACGGCTCTTGTTTTATATTTTCGGTGACGGGTGCCGGCACGCGTTCGTTAGTCCGTTCGACCGCTTTCGAATGTTTGCGGCGCGAAGTGGTCTCACCCACGCGTTCATCGGTTTTTATATTACAAGCGTGGCGAGATAATATTTGCCCGCGATTTTTATTTCATACCTACCCTACCAGGGCGATAACCCCACTCGCCCCGGATATGAGGTTATTTTTTTTCCCCGCGCTGAAACTCTATTTCTCCTCGTTGATTCTTCTCTCTCTCTTTTTTTTTTAGAACTTTTTTTCCTGTAAATATTCTGGTTTTTCCCCCCCCTCTTTTTTTTTTTTTTTTTTTTTTTTTTTGCTTTTCGTTTTTCGATGACGGTTCATAGGGTTGCAAAGCTGGGGGAGAAATGAATCGGATCACCGAGTTCGTTATCGAGTATCACTTTTTATTTAATCGTTTCTCTCATCACGATTCCGTTATATTCTCTAAGCCAGACAATATTTACAAATTTTTAGTTCTCCATACGTGTATGTGTATGTGTATGAATGTTGAGTGTGTACGTGTGTGCTTTTTTTTTTTCTTTATTACTCGCTTTCCGTCTCACTTTTAGGGGACGTAGAAAAATATCATGGTATACTTAAAGACTGACGTATGTATATATATATATATATATATATAATATTATGTATATGTATATACAAAATATACAGGAAAAAACGCGTTAATGTCAGCGTTATTCAAATTTAAGCGCGATTCAGCCGCCCAAAATGGCGGTCGTACGCGCAACGAGCGGAACGAACTGTCCGATTTCGATGAAAAACGTTCATTAACGAGCGATTATCGATCGAAATAAGAAGAACGATCCGGATCATTAAAATGAAATTTATCAATCTATTCGCCGTCTATGTCATGAATAATAATATTTTTAAATCTCTTTCTATCCGAAAAATCTTAAAAACTCGACGTCGATGTTTTACAAAAAAATCTCTCGAGCGTTGCTGCGCGATTCGATCTCTGATTCTTGATCGAAAGAATTCCTTTCTTTTTCTTTTTTTTTTACCTTTTCTTTTCTTTTCTCTCTTTTACTCCGGTTCGTTCGGCTCGTTCTCTTTCTTCTTCACCGAGAGTAACAATAACAACAATAACAAGAACAAGGGCAACAAACGTCTCTCGTGTTAATATCGTATAAGAATTATGTACACCCACGCTGTGGAGAGTTGCTCGGGTCTGATGAATACGTTCGGTTGTTGGTACGTTTCGGTTTCGTTGCGGTTTCGTCGTTCAATACATGACCTCGTAGACGGTCGCTTTCTTGTCACCTGAACCGGTAACGATGTACCTGTCGTCGGCTGATATATCGCAGCTGAGCACGGATGACGATTCCTTGGACTGAAAACAGCATAAGACGTGTCGTTCGTGAGGCCGAAGAAATCGTGCAAGAACAGGCAATGAATTATTATTCTCCATTATTCTTTTTTTTTCTTTTTCTATTCTTTTTCTTTTTTTTTTTCACCAACAAATGCTTGTTAAAATATACGATTCGTTTTAATTAGAATTCATAAAATATTTCACAATATATACACACACGCTTCGTAATTTAATTTATACGTACGAAACAAAAGTTTAGAGATAAAGGTGGGAACAATGATTCGATGAATTTTTTTATACGATATAATAACAACAGTTTGAGAACTCTTATACTTTCATCTATGCTAAACTTAAGAATAAAATTTATTCTCCTCTCCGTAGGATCGAGTTGCAAATCCGCTTACCTGGAATATCGAGGCCCCGTAAGGCGTGCGCCACGCGTTCAGCAAATTATCCTTGCCAGTTGAGACGAACCACTTGCCGCAGGAGGCGAATCTCAACGATAATACGCAAGACTCGTGCAGGTGTAGCTGGTACTTGTCCGGATTCGAGGCGTGCAACACCTCGACGTTCGAGTTCTCCATGCCCACGGCCAGCCATTCCCCCGTGGGACAGTAGCCGAGCGAGAATATCTGGGACGTGAAGTCGTGCTGTTTCAGCTGCCTTCCTTCCCTCAGATCCCACGAGCGGACCGTGTTGTCCAATCCGCCGGTCCACAATTTCGAGCCGTCCGCCGATATGTCGATGCACGAGGCGCCGTCCGTGTGACCTTGGAACTGTCTCACCAAGGACTGATTCTGAAGATCCCAGACGGCGATGCTGCCGTCGCTGCAGCAGCTGAAGCAAACCTTAGAGTCCGGGGAGATTGCCAGGGCGTAACAGGCGGGGGCGGCCGAGATTAATTCGGCCTTGATCCTCGGCGTTGGACTGGCCAGATCCCAGATACTAAGTCGGCTAGCCTCGCCTCCGACTATCAGCGTTCTCCCATCCGGTAACAGTTTCACCGACCTGCCGTGCCACAATTCGTTTCGTTTTAGAGAACGGTGAACCCACTTTCTCTCGAGCTTAAATCGCTTCAATCGATCCTTTCACTATTTACTATAACGCCTATCGTAAGTTATATATTTTACATATATATATGATCAATGAAACATGAATAAAAATTGAAATAAAAATTAAGAACAATCGAATTATCATTATTATTATAGTAGTCTGCCGATGACTCAAAGATTACGCTCGAAGATTCTTTGGATTTTATATTAGAGAAGTTATTTGGAAGTATGACGGGAAAAAGCCACAGTTCGATAACGCCTATCGATCGTAAGTTATATATTTTATATATATATGATCAATGAAACACGTGAAATAAAAATTAAGAACAATTGAATTATTATTATTATTATAATAGTCTGCCAATGACTCAAAGATTCTTTGGATTTTATATTGGAGAAGTTATTTGGAAGTATGACAGGAAAAATCCACAGTTCGATAACGTCCGTCAATCGAAAGTTATATATTTTACATATATATATGATCAATGAATAAAAATTGAAATAAAAATTAAGAACAATCGAATTATCATTATTATTATAGTAGTCTGCCGATGACTCAAAGATTACGCTCGAAGATTCTTTGGATTTTATATTGGAAAAGTTATTTGGAAGTATGACGGGAAAAAGTCACAGTTCGATAACGTCCGTCAATCGAAAGTTATATATTTTATATATATATGATCAATGAAACACTTGAAATAAAAATTAAGAACAATCGAATTATTATTATTATTATAATAGTCTGCCGATGACTCAAAGATTCTTTGGATTTTATATTGGAGAAGTTATTTGGAAGTATGACGGGAAAAAGCCACAGTTCGATAACGCCCATCGATCGTAAGTTACATATTTTATATATATATGATCAATGAAACACGTGAAATAAAAATTAAGAACAATCGAATTATTATTATTATAGTAGTCTATTATTATTATAGAGCCTATGGCTCAAAGATTACGCAAAGATTACGAAGATTCTTTGGATTTTATGGCATATTGGAGAAGTTATTTGGAAGTATGACGGGAAAAAGCCACAGTTCGATAACGCCTGTCGATCGTAAGTTATATTTTTTTTTTTTTTTTTTTGAATATTACAAAACTGGTGACCGCAACTCGAAAAACAGGCAGGAAAAAAAACACCGAAAAAAAGAAAAAAAGAGAAAAATACCAACACGATATCTCGAGCACAATGAACCATCGATGCACACAAGTGGTAAAACCCGTGGTAACCCGGTTTCGGTCGATCGACGAAACACCGAACGCTCTCTCGATAAATGAAAACGGTTCTCTCATTGGCTCTCATTTGTTCTCGGGGGCAACCGTTTCGCCCGGTTTGACAGCGGGTTTTAAAAGTGGTAATCATTTTTACGCGGTCAAGCGTGGCGAAATCGGAGCAGCGGCCGTGATTAGCAACTGTGACCGATTGATCATAAAGTACCCTTTAATGCAGAGAGGATGGGTGTGTATATGGCCGTATGCATTACCAGCAGTGAAATTTTATTAAATTTGCCCGTGCTGGCTCGCTCGCTCAGAGAGAGAGAGAGAGAGAGCGCGTTCAAAAAAAAAAAAAAAAAGGAAGAAAGAGAAAAAGTGCGGCCGGCTTCAATTACCGTGCGTATCGCTGGCATTAACAGTCATACATAGAGGGAGAGGGAGGGAGGGAGGGAGGATGGGGGTTGATATTATACCGGGGGGCATATCGTTAAAACGTGCACATCCAGCGCGAAATGTATCGTGAAAACGTCGAACACCCCGCCCCGTTTGTTCTACACGGCCGACACATTGCCGACGATTTTTCGAGCGTGCATGGAATACATTGAATCTCATTATACGATGCGTTCCTCCGTTCCGCCCCACGGCGATCCTTTCTCTCGCTCTTTCGTTTTTAACGTGCAAAACCGTTTTTGTTTCGGTTCGATCGGCTCTCGATCGGCCTGTGGCCCGATTGCTGTGACCCGTTTGTGAAATAAAATCCTATTGGAGGGGGTGGACGGTTTACATAATTTCGTTTCAACGATCGTGTTATTGTAAGAATGTTTCCAGAGGTGTGTACTCTGGTAAAATTAATTGTATTCCCACGCGATGGCGGAATTATCGCAATTGTTTTTTTCCCTTCCTTTTCTCTTTTCCAGAAAACAATAGTCGCGTATAATTTGGACGGTATTTTATTGTTGTATTACTGTTTCTCGATTATACGGACTCTGATTTAGATCATTATTTAATAAATATGGATACAGATATAGATAGACGATCTTGATTGTAATACGATATTCATATCAAAAAGCAAGAAAGAAAAGAAAAATTAAAATAACAAGTACAAAGTTTAAATATTATACAATTTTACGACAGATAATTGGATCCAAAGTTTACATTTTTTTAATTTGAATATCAAAAAAAAAAAATCATACAATAAACGTTTAATTGAAAATGAAGCAGCTGGAAGAGTAAGTATAAAAAAAAAAAAAAAGAAAATAAAACGTAAAACGGACAAAGAAAGAGCACTGACCTGATGTAATTGTCAGGTTGGAGGCAGTCGAGTTGGGACACAGACTTGGTGCTACCCGTGCCACCTTGCCCTATATCCCAAACCTTGACGCATCCCTTGCCGCCGGTATACACATATTTGGTCGGATTCGAGATCGTGACAGCGCACACGACCTCCCCATGGCTGAGGGTATTAATTTGCCGCGCATGACGCGGTATCCCTTGTCCGCTGAGCGCATCCGGTGGGAAGGGCACCGGCTGCATCTGGCCCTCGCTCGACACGTGGAAACTGTACGCGCTGAAACATAGAGAAAAATTCGCCCCGTGTGGTGAACACGCGTCTGCCAACTATCCGATCCGGTGTTGTATCGTCTCCCGTTCCATCGATCCGCAACGACACGCTCCAACGAAACTGGAAAAAGTTAACCGAGGGACAGGGGATTTTTGGTGACTTTAACTCGTTTCTTTTTTTTTTCCTCTCTCTCTTTTCTAGGAAAATCGATACTCGTGGAGTTTTATCCTGTTTATAGATATCTCTTCTGTGGAATGAAATTACACTGGTGTGATTTATGCTAAGTTTGGGAAGAAATTTCGAAGAGATAAATATGAGGGGAGTGAAGGATTTCCTTTTTTTTTTGGTGGGACGGATTCGAAAAACGCGAAGAAATAATTTTCGGGGGAAGAAGGAACGATTTTTATCGTGATACGTTATTAATATGCAGAGTAGATTTTCTTTTCCAAGTGAGGTGACAGGAATTCGAGAAATCGAGAACGCGAAATAATATCACGGGGAAGACGCGATTTATTATCTTAATATTTCCCATTAGCCTCTATCTCGAGCGTTTAATCTCCCGGTAACCGAGATCTGTTCTAAAATAAAAATATCGATAACGTATTTTAACCGTTCGCGGCTACGATAAACAAGGGGATTGGGTGAATTTTCATAGTAAACAGAACCGTAGATAACGAGCCCTGGCAAGCAGACCGAATATCAAACAATGTTAAAACAAAAAGCATATTATATCGGGGATTCGATCTTTCGTTAAAATATAAAATATAGTATATTTTTATTGCTTTCCAGTAATCGCTGATATCTCTCCTCTCTCTGTACAAATGTTATACCTGTATTTTTACTCAAATCATGCGTTAAATACAATTGGTCTTAAAATTATTGGACCAAGATATATTTGATACATTTGATATGGTGAAAATTCACGTATGGAAAAATTAAGTGTTTGAAAGCTTGGTTACTTAGAGATATCAAATGGAAACTTTCAAAAGTTCCATATACAGAATTTTGAATCTTACATTTATCGATCAAACGGTTAATATAACAACGCATAATTGTGTCAAATATATATTCCCCCTCTCTCCTCCCCTTAATATCCCCAATCAAATACTCAAGAACATGTAATTCAATTATCTTATCGCGAAACACCTCCTAGTTTTCATAATCTGTACGTGAAAGCAAACAGTTTCGCTTAGCCTTCATCCACTCTAGATTCGTTTCCAAAAAACGTTGTTTAAGTTTTGTTACATCATCCTGTATCAATAAATTTATTACTTATTATCTCGTACAATGTAATCAACCAACGAGATAAACGTGATTGATCGATCATTTAATATTTTCACTACCAAACAAGAGAAACTATCCTCTCTGCCAATTCACAATTCAGACTTTTTTTTAAACAAAAATTAAAAATAAATTTCTCTCCAGAATACGTAGAATTCTTAAACCTACACTACGTAAATCCTACCCTATATATATATATATATATAAAACAAATATTCCTTCCTTAAACTTAAACTTAACAAATCTCCGTAAATAAACTTCTATTTCCATTATATAAAAAGGAGGGATATTTTAAATCCGCAGATCTGGGATCTTCGATTCAATTCTGGAATATTAGGAGTGAAGTCGCGGGAGCGCTACCACATCCACTTACGGTTTGCCTCCGGGCACTCCGACGGATCCCATAGGGGCCCTCATGGCCACGTGGGGATCGTAGAGCTGTTGGAGGGAAGGTGGTGCTCTGGGCGCCACATAGCCGTTATAACCCATCATGTCGACGTGAGGATGCTGGCCAGCTGGTGCCAGATGGTGAGGGGGTGGACCCGGGGCGTAGTGCGGTGGATAAGCGCTGGGCACGCCGGGGGGCGGTGGTCCCTGGAGTAGCTTGGCCGAGCCGGATGGCTTCAAACCGCCACCGATCGCGGAACCGGAGGTCGGTGTCAGGGGTTTCGAGATCGGCGTGGTCGGTTTCTCGCGCTCCTCCATCTTCTTGGCCGAGGGTGTGCTCGCGTTGCTGCTCGTCCCGCTTCTCGGCGAATGGGGCGGCACGTCCTTCTTCGTCTGCACCCCGGCGCCTATCGGCGCCACCTTGTCCAGACCGTTCTCTCGGGGCGACGTCGTGCCGTTTACCACGGGACTCGTTGGCCCCTCGCTCGCGTCGTCCACCACGAGGTCCTGGTCGCTCTTCTCCCCGTCGCTCTGCAGGTAGAAAATGAAAGTTGTTTCGCAAGATGAATTTTTGAATCGTTGCTTTTTTTCTTTTAGGATTTTGTAAAAATCTGTTGAATAGAATCCTTAATTTTTGGTTGGTTAAAATTTCTTTCGGGGATTTGAGAAATATTTTTAACTTTCTTACGCGGTGATAATTATAGTCTGTTCGTAAGTATGGTCATTCAAAAAATTGTTATACACGGGAGATACAAAAATATTTGGTTGATGAATAAATTATCGATTAATTATTTTTAATTTCAATCGAGCTCATTTTGTTTCTATCTATATATGTTCTTTTTTTCAAAAATCACTCGAAATTTTGACGCGATTCAAAATTCTTGCTAAACGTAATATGCGTGACATCTGGTAGGAAGTTGAGGAAGCTGTTTTTTATTTCATCAAACGAAGAATTCGTTGAAAGTTTGTTGCTGAAGTATGTTGTTTGAAATTGCACGGTCTCTGCCTATCTAAGTTACATATTGGCGAGCCCAATCAGTCTTATCTTATTTGAAGTCTCAATCACGGTTTCCTTTGTGCCTTGTTAAAGCGTCGGAATTGTAACGGTATCTGATGCCTGAATTTCGATCGAGTTAATAATTAATATTATTAGACTCTTACGATTATTTGATAACTCGATGAATCGAAATAAAAATACAACCGATTTTTGTTACAAAAAAAAAGATAAAAAAATCTTGAACATTATTATCGTCGACGTGAATTTTTTCTTTTGTGCACGATCTCTCCGTATCAAAATATTCTTTTTAAGATAAAACATTAAGAGAGTCCTTTCCAAGAGACTTTTTTAAATTCAATCGAATTATCGATTCGTGATATCGGATGACAATGCCACTTGATCGAAATATTAAATAAAAAATCTCACATAAATAAAAATTTGTCTGAAGCTTTTTAACAATTATATAATTACACGATCCTAGATAGAATTTGGTAAAAATACACGATTGAAAAAGAAACGAGAAAGTAGGTCGAAACGCTGATTGAAGATCTAGATAAAATCAAATTCAACATTAATAAAATCAACAAAATCCCCGATAAAGACATATATAAATATCGATAAATAATCCAGTGCAAACACTTACATGACCGATGTCCTTGTCCTGCTCTTTCTTCATCTTCTTGATGTGCATGGGATGGTCATGGTGATTCTGAGAATGATGGGAATGATGCGTCTCCTGCGGTGTACGCGGACGACTATATTTATCACCGGGCGATATCGAGCTCCTCTGTAACGGAAACGACGAAAATTACGATTTTCCCGATCTGCGTGTCCACGATCTGACGATCTTTAAAATCGATATTATTAATCGATTGGGTAAACGAAAAAAGAAATTTCTCGATATTTATATTTCTTCGGATAAAAATTTTTACAATATTTGCAATAAAGTTTTCAAAAGATTTCAAAGAGTTGAATACACGTGTGTTATTATAATAATAAATAAAAAAATTTTAGGTAGACTTTACAATATTCACACGAAAGATATTTAGAAAATTTCGAAGCTGAATATGCATCCATTCGTTTTTACACTTTTTCACATTATTAACAGACGATAAATAAAAAGAAGAAGAAAAAATTCTAGGAGATCGAAAACAACAATTTTATTAAAAAAAATTCTTAAAAGTTTAGAAGATTTCATCGTATCGTATAAATAAATACAATTTTTCTTTTCTTTTATTTTTCCTTCTCATATATATATATATATATATATATATATATATATATGTATGTATGTATATATAGCTTTGATTTATTTTATAGGGACAGGTTTGAACAAGCGAGGAAAAAGCTACTTAACCACACCGAAGATAGTCTGGCCACGCGAGGAATACCATTTTCTCTATACGAACACAAGTATACGTTTACAGAGCCGTTAATCTCTGGTTAAATAACAGACAATCGGCATAGACTGAAACAACGGATTACCCACGTGTTTCCTGCGGTTCGATCAACGTGACAAAACCGTAATTACCCGCGTCGACGGTTATTATCAATTGTCACGCGACCGTTCGCGATAATCGATTTCGACTTTCCATCCGTGACAGCCGAACGACGAGTTTCGATACGTAGATTTCGGGCCCGGGTTTACGTTACGGTGAATAAAATCTCTCTATATCCGCGATACGGAATTACGTCCCAGAGATTTTCCATGATTTTGATACGCGCAATATAATTTAATGATCGTCCCGATTCTATCCACGCGAGTTTCATCAGTTTCTCCGTGAATTTGTCGAAGGGGCGGGAAAAAGGGGGGACGCGTCTTTTCCTACACGTCTTTCTTTCCCTCACATCGCGATATAATACTCTTTGTATTAAAACCCAAAGTGTATTAAAAAATTGTATTAAAAAAATTTGTTGATTTTTGTCTTCGATAAGAATTTTTTTTTTGATTTGATTTTAATACTACTACTACAGACGAATGTAGGCGAGTTTAAACGAGAAGAAATGCATATAGTTACAGCTACAACTGATCATATCACATTCCGCAGTGTAATTACATCTGAAACAGCTACTGGTGATCTTGAAAAATCGATGGAAGACTTCGTTCAACCGGACAAAAAAATGGTCAATGTTTCTTTTCAGGAGGAAGAAGGCATGTGAAAAAAATCGATACGAAATATCCATCAATATCTATTCCAAATTCTTAAAATACCAATTTCGAATCGAACCATAGAAATTTGAAAAAGGGCCAATAACTTCGCCTCCAATTACGCCCCAACGATTTTTCATTAAATCTACGCCTCCTTATTAATTAACCCTAAGAGGGATTCTCCCAAAAAAGCGAAACTTAAGAATTTCTTTCTTTTTTTTCTTTTTCGCTCGAGAAATATCATCGCTTCCCGTTGTCCCGACTTCCCGCCACGCGACGGGTCCAGATTACGTATCCCGAACATCCATTTCACGAAACAAAGTTCGATAGAATATTCAAAGCCGTGGATCGAACGAAGAAATCCACCTTCCCCCTCCTCCCTCCCCGAAAAAAAGGAGAAAGACGATAGGGCGACAGACCAGTCACGAAGAACGCGCGCCAGGGAAGAAAGAGGATTTATAAAGGAAGCGCGATGGCAAGAGCAAAGTGAAGAAAAAGAAAAGGGGAGGGAAAAAAAGAAAATGGTTTGGGAAGAGGTTGATAATGATTATAGAGTCGGCACGATCCGTGGAGGGAATGGGGCGAGGACACACACACACACGCACACGCACACATTGGAGAGCGTGTGTTGGTGTGCAAGGACGGTTCGAGAGAAGCGGAGAAAAGTGGCCGAGAGGATGGGTCGAATAAGGAGAGAGGAAAATAGAATGGCGAGAGAGGAAGAATGAGAGGGCGTCGATGGGCGTTTCGCGGTCCCGCGATGATTACAGGCTCGGCAAACCTATACTACACGCTTGCTATCTCTCCCCTTTCCCCTCCCCCTTCTTTATGGGTGCTCTGCTCTTTCCATCATTTTTTTTTTATCTCTCTTTTTTCTCTCTCTCCGCCCTCCTTTTCTTCGACGCGTCACTCTCTCTCTCTCTCTCTCTCTCTCTCTCTCTCTCTCTCTCTCTCTCTCTGTCTCTCTGTAACCCAAGAGCACAGCATTGGGGCCTGATTCGGGCCCCGTTCGCAAGAAGAAGATCGTTACTTGCATTTTCTACGGACGAACCTTCTGCCTTCCTTCCCCTAAGGCTACGCCCATTGGTCGGAAAAGAAAAGTTTCTCGGACGGTGGAGAAAGAAAAAGAAAGAGAGAGAGAGAGAGAGAGAGAGAGAGAGAGAGATTGTGGGCAGGCCGAAGCCTGCCACGCGGACTTTATCCCCTAAGCTCGATACAATCGAGAGAACTAGTATTCCGTCTGTAATTACTTTTGTAAGTTTAATGCTGGCTCGGCCGGCTGGTTATCTTTCGCTATGTTCCCGCGCGTGGATCCGTTCCTCGATCGATTTACATCCGGCCGGTCTTTTGTTTCGCGTTTCAGCTTGGCCAGGACGGATTTCTTGTTTAAAACTGAACATCGTGATATTCTTCTTTTATTTTTTCTTTTCGATATATTATAATATATCGTTTCGATTTTTTAGGTTAGGGCTGCGGGCACGTAAAATGGCGGATTTTTAAAGATGGAAGATTCGTTTCGAAGTTGGAGAAGTTATTCTGTTAATCGTTTTGCTAAAGTTTGTCTAAATCTTTAGAGGAATTAAAGTTTTATGTATAGGAAAAAAGAACGTAGAATCTATTTTTTTTTTTTTTTTTTTTACCCAAAAATCGACCTGAGAACACTTAGATGCATCCAACAAGTGCAATTATTTAAAATATATCTTAAATTCAAAATTTGTTTTCGCTTCTATTTTATGAGACACGAGATATAAATAATATAAATGTATAGATTGAAATAAAATTAATTCTAATAAAATTCTAATAAAGAACGGTATATAATACACGTATGGGTAACTTTAACAAATGATTATTCAATATTTGAGAATGTACGCTTCGCAGTGAATGGATTAAGTAATATTTATTGCGCGTCAAAATAATGCTTGGATCAACTGCATATATTTCATTAGAATTTCATTATTAGAAATTCTTCTTCATTTCATTTGCAATAAACCGAGGAATCGAGAAATCTATCGATGGAGTCTACTCAAAAGTCCATATATTAGTTCTAAGTGCTAAGTCCACCTATTTGTGTCAAAATATATTCAAAGTGTGGAATAAAGTATATATATATATATATATTCTAAACCGAGTTGAAAAGGTTGAATACATATACCGTGTACTGTTTGAATAATATTATTTAAAATTATCTTGAACTTAAAGTGCTTGAAAGAGCATTTGAAGAGCGTCGATGCGTTAGACTAAAAGCGAAGTCGTCGAAAGAAGTCATTTAAGTGTTAGATGATATCTGCATAAGTAAACATAAATGTGTGCCATACTTATTTACAGTAAGATATATGGGCATATATAATGATTACAACAGTAACGAATACGTCCATAACTTCAAATTTAAGAAGTAAGTAAATTTTTCTCCGTTATTAAATCCTTTTTATAATTTCCCATTACATAAATCTCTCGTATTTTTTTTTTTTTTTTCCTGAATAGATATCGAGAGGCAACTTTAAAAACCTCTTTGCAAAATCATTGCAAAGATGCCCAATATCATATATTATATATATATATATGCATCATTAAACTGTTCTATTTGTTGTTCAAATTTACAATCGTCGTTAAATTTTATAAAAGGATGCTCAACAGGAGGGGAAAAAAAAAAAACTAAATCTTCTATCAACAAAAAAAAAAAAATAAACCATACACAGAAATCTCTCCATCCGAAATACCGCAACCGATACATTACAAATTATTTTGAATTCTTCGCGGAATTTTCAGAAGAAAAGAAAGAAAGATATAGACAAATATATAAAAACTACGTGCGCGCCAAATAAAGAAAGAAAAACTTAAATTCGCCTCGTTGAACCCGGAAACCGAAGTGAAGTGCAACGAGTGAAAAAAAAAAAAAAAAAAAAAAAAAAAAAACTAGGGAAACGAGAAGTCGAAAGGCAGAGAGGGCTTGGCCACGGCTCTTTCCTTACGGCGGTAGCCGCCGTATTTTTCGTGTCGGCCTCTTTTCCTACCCGCCACTTTATACCACTCGCGCGTTCGTCGAAAACATAATTGCGCGTGCAGTGGGTGCTCGTGAGCGAAGTACGCCGAACCACTCGTTGTACCCTTCACGCGCACGAAAAGTTACACGCGTGTAATGTAGCTGTAATACACGTTGGGCGAAGAGGAGGACAGAGAGAGAGAGAGAAAGAGAGAGAGAGAGAGGAGAGGTCACGTCGCGAATGCTCGAGTACGTTGTACGCGCTTATACGCGCCTCGTGTTCGCGCTGCAATCGGGGATTAGGAATTATGCAGTGTGCAGTGATGCGTGTTGTCTCTGTATGTGATGAGCGCGTGCTTTTGTAACGCGTCGAAGGAAAATTTTCGATTCGAACGAAGAAGTTTTTTTTCTACGTAAAACCTTTGGCGGAATGATTGTGAAGGGAGAATTATTAACGATTGATCCATCGATTGATGGAGTTTGATGGTGATGAGGATGACGAGAGTGCGAGCGCAAATTGCATTATTTTTTAAATGTGTGTTAAATATTTTGAAATATGAAAAAAAGGAAAAAGAGAGAGAGAGAGAAGTTATATAGTAGTATTTCGTATTTTATTGCGGTTTGTTGTTGCATCGGTTGTTATTGTTATTATATTTGCTAATATTAGGTATGTTTAAACGTAAATATTTGAAATATGATTTAAAAAAAAAAAAAAAAAAAAAGAAGAAGAAATTATGGATAGAGATATGCCTGGTATTTCATTGCGATTCGTTATATTATTGTTGGTATATTGAAAAATAGCTTGTATTATTATTAATGCGAAAATCGTTTCGTTTGTGAAAAAATTCGAGTTTTATAATTTTTTGATTTCGAAAGTACATCACATCACGGATGAAAAATAAAGTAAAATAATCATTTTATAAGTAACGTGACGCAAATGATCGTAAAAAAATGTTTATCTTATTTTTACGTTGTACGATATATGAATTATAAATAATGATAATGAATGTGATTTAATACGTAATAGCATGTTGCATATATCGATATAAAAAAAAAAAAAAAAAAAAAAGAGTACCTTTTTTTCGCGCCAGTCAATAAATCATTAACGATTATTTAATTTTTATCGTTTTGCGTCTTTATCAGATTTAATTTACCACCTGTGAGATAGAAATTGTATCTACGAAGGATTAGTTAAAAACTTAATTTTTGAGATAAAGAGTGATGAAATAGTAATTATCATCATTCATAGTTTAGCTACAGAATGTTTGGAACACAGAAAAAAAAAAAAATTTTTCCAATGTTTATTAAATACGTATTTATGATTTTTTTTTATCGTATTATCATAGTAATTAACACAGTAACGAGAATTTATTATTTGTTAATAAAACAAAAAAAAAATAATAATAATAATTTTCTATCAATATGCATGAAGAACACGATATCGAATATATATATATATATATATTTAAAAATATTATTAAAAATATTCATAGTTATTTTTTTCCTCGCGCAATCGAAACGATATTTTATACTAAATGCATATAACGTATAACATTTATGAATAATTTCCATTCCAAAGATTAAATAATAAAAAAAACTCGTACAAGTTTCCCCCCCTCATTTTCATTCATCATATTCTCAGGCTAAATTAAATAACAATTGACACAACGATATCTCTATATAACCATTTTAAAATAATGTATAATGCATAGACAAGCCAAGAATTCAATATTTGCCGTCCGTGCAAAGCACTCGCTTCTCGAAGCGAGTGTTAGCAGCTTCTCAAAATCATGATTTATCGTAATTCATATCCGAACAACCTAATATTATTAAACGCCACACGTTTATATCTCCCCCTCCTCTTTCGTAACATCGTTTCATCGCATCATATTTATCATCGTATTTTTCGCGGAAACTTCCTTTCCTTCTCGCGCCCAGCCGTAGTACATCGTGCATATATACCGGTACATACATAAATCCGAAAAAAAAAAAAAAAAAAAAAAAAAAAAACAACGCGGATATCGAAGCGATTTTAATCTGGCCTGGAAAATACCAGAGACGACTTTTGTCTCCGTTCCGTTCGATTCGCTTCAATTGGATTTATTTATCTACGTCATTAAATCCTTTCGAAAATTTCAGGCGGAAGCGGGGAGAGGGGGGGGGGTTAAGGGGGGAGGAGAGGAGGGAGGAGAGAGACGGATAAGCGGTAAAAAATATGCCCCATCCGCTCGCATATTTATTTATTTATGCGATAGATCAGGTAGGTAGAAGTTGGATGGATAATCCGATTGTTAACTCGACATTTCGATAAATGATTTGTCTGCGTTTCAGTGGAGAAATATTTACCGGGGCGAAAATATGGGCCCGTAAATCTCGGCGCATATTATTGTTTCATCCGCGATAAAACAGCGGCGCTGACATAATTTCATTTGCGTAGTAAACCTTAATTACGACACGTGAAAAATAAAGCTCGCGCGCGCGTCATCCCTTTCTACCTTCCCCCCCCCCTGCCCCCCTCCCCCCTCTTCTCCGCCTATCCATGCGATATCTCTTTCCCGTCCACGTGTCCACACGAATCTCCCTCCCTCTCCCGATCTCTCTGATGCTCGAAAATTTTAACAAAGAGCGCCACGTCGCCGCCACTTCAACGTCCATTAATAATTTAATTCGGAACGACCGACGTTATTGTTGCGCGTGATTTTTTGCGTCGCTGCAAGCGTGTCAACCGTTCCGTAAATTACTCGTTAAAAGCGGCGAGAAGGAAGCTAAATATAGCGTCGTAATGGGGAGAGGGAGGACAGGGGGGGGGGAGGAGAAGGCAAAAAATGAAAACATACAAATGGAAAAAAAGGGAGGTAAATTGTTAAACTAGTCCAAGTGTCCAAATGCGAATCCTTTAATTCCTTCCCAGTTCGTTTCGTAATTTGCAAAAAAAAAAAAAAGAAAAAAAAAAGGAAAAATTCCACCGTTGATTCGTTGTGGCGTTATTTCGAATAAAAAAGAAAAATAATAATAATAATAATAATAATAATAATCTCGAGAAAAGGAATGAATGAGAGAGAGAGAGAGAGAGAGAGAGAGTAGGAGAGCGAAAATACGAGGGACGCAAAGATGAAACGCAAAAGAGCTAGAAAATAAAAAACGAAAAAAAAAAAAAATAGAACGAAATATTTTCTACTCACGTGTCTCTCCTCGGTCGAGCTGAGACCTGTAACGAGACAAATGCAAACAGTCGTCAGTCAAAAAAGCCGTGCGAAACGTTTCCAAACGTAGGAGGGTAGGATAGGACAGGAGAGGGGGGAAAAAAAAAAAAAAAAAAAAAAATCATTTTCATGCATGACTTCGGGACAGGCGAGACGGGAGGATGTTTAGTGGGTGGATGATGGAAAGGTAGATGAACGGATGAAGAGAGAGAGAGAAAGAGAGAGAGAACAAAAAAGAAAGAAAAAAAAAAAAACTGTCGAAATTCTGGCCACCGCGCGTCGATAAAATGTTAATAACGTGCCCATAAAAGAGAGACAGTAGGGGGTGGGAGGACGAAGGGGTAGGCTGCAACGTTCTACGTGTACGTGTGTATATACGTATGTGTGTATATGCGCTCGCGACTGTATATGCGTATAGGCGTGTGGCATAGGCGTGTGGCGTGGAAGCGCGAGCGGCGCCCGTATAAATGATCTTCATGCATATTTATGCGCTTTTCGCTCAAAACCGCCGGTGTCCGCTAACAGGGTGACGCAAACACGCTCATCCCCTCTCCTCCCTTCCCCCTCCCCCGAAAGCGGATACCCGAAAAGCGCTTTGAAAATTTCCAGTCGACCGAGCCGAGCGGAGCCGAGCCGAGCCGAGCCGAGCCGAGCCGAGCCGAGCCGAGCCGTACGCTCGCGTCACGTCGGCTACATATTCTTTTTCCTCTTTTTTTCCCTTTTTTCTTCTCTCTCCCCGCCCCCCATATACTCTCCTCCCTCGCTGTCCAGAGCGGCGCATCCATCCCTTTCGACGGCACATACACGTATATACAGTGAGATAGGTATATACACGCGCGCGTGCGATCGACTGGCGCTCTCTCTTTTTTCCAGAGAGGGAGGAAGGGAGGGAGGGGATATCGGCAAAAGCGGGATCAAACGGATGATGGTGACAAAAAGAGAAAAAAATCTATCCCCTCCCTATCCTCTCGCTCGTCTCGACGAGTCTCGACGATTTGCACAGCGTTGAACTCGAGCGAGCGTTGGCGCGAGCGTAGATGCGATTCGTTATATATATATATATATATGTATGTGTGTGTATGTGCGTATACGTGTGTGCATTATATCGCAGCGCCACTCGAACGTGACCAAAGGCCGGAATTTCGTTAATTTCTTTTCCCGCCGCGCTGCCCGCAGAGGTGGCAATTAAAATCGCGTGAAAGGGCGGAAGGTATGCGTATAACGAGTATCCCGGGGTTTTACGATTCTCGTGGGGAGGGGGAAGGAGGAATTCGATCGTGAAAGGGGATGGCGTGTCACCCGCCACGCGGTGGTCTTCTGCGGTTTTTTGGAATTGGGGAGGGAGGGATAATGCGTCGTGGAAGGTGGAAATTAACTGGCGTTAATTCTGGTAATTCTTGAATTGGGGACGAGGATCGATTCTCCGAGGGTAGGTCGTAGATGTTTGGGAAGAATATCTTGAGATTAGGGATGAGGGGGAAGAAATTTCGCGTAATTTCTCGCGTAGAAGACGGATGTTCGATTTTGGATGGAGCATTTTACACTGAGCGCGTTTTACGTCATAATTAACCCTTCGACTTGTTTACACGTTGAAAGTTGGATTCGCGTATGATTCACTCGCGTGCGCGTTGCTCGCGCTCGTTGGAAATAGGCGGTTTGTTTAATGATTCCGTTTCATCGGAAGCATATTTTACGAGTAACGTACTACAGTCAAACAATATCATCATCTTTATTATCGTCTTTGTTGACTTTTCTAGTAAAATGAACGAGCCTTTGTGCAAATATCGAGTAGATCTCATCCCGGTGTCTTCATTATCCCGATTTCCGTTTCGATGAGAAATTATAATAACATTTCTAAAAAATATAATCTCATTGGAAATATATAAACGAGCCTCGTTGTAAACGCTCTCTAACAATCATGAGTTTCACGATAAAATTACCAAACCAATTATCATAACGAATAAAAAAAGAGAAAAAAAAAAAAAAAGAAAAGAAAAGAAAAGAAAAGAAAAAGAAAAAATAAAAATTGGAAATTACTTAAAAGGGTCAAAGGGTTAAAAATGAAACGATAAGATTATTAATCGAAATCTACGATCTTTTTCGGATAGTGGGAAAATTAAGGCACAAAGAAAAAAAAAAAAAAAAAAAAAAAAAAAGAAAAATCCAAAATATACTCACCACCGTTGCTCTTTAAATCGTCGGGCTGACGATGCAATTCCGGTTTACTCAACATCGATAGCGGATGAGCCGCTGTTGTGCCGGGTGCAGTGGCGGCCCCCGGCGTCAAGCCAAGGCTAAGAAGCGCGGCGGAGGCGGAAGTTGGCACCGGAAGTCCAGCAGCTGGTCCTAGTCCCGGAAGTCCGGGTAGCCCCGGATGAGCGCCCAGCGCCGTCCCCGGTGGCAGTTGTTGAGCATGCATTTGTTGCAACAATCTTGATATATCGGGTCTCTGTTGCTGCAACCCACGAAAAAACCGTAATTGTACCTTTTTATCCTTCCAATCCACGTTGTTGATCATCGAATTGATTAATTACACACAGGCGATTAAAATTAACATTTTTCGTGTATGCATACGCGTTTGCATTCAACGTAACAAACAAATTCGAATAAAAGTAATACCATATCCATAAGGCAAGCGCTCGAATGTATCTTTATCTCCCCATATATATATATATATATATATATATATATACTTTCTCGCGCGGTTTCCACCTAATGAAATGTCATCCTCATCCTGACGTCATACGTAGCAAGGGTTGAAAACGAATCCGTGCTCGAGTGCCCTTGCGGGCCGACCAGTGGCGGCGATCAGAGGGTCCCAAGAGCTACTCCATAAGAAGCGAACGAGAAACAGAGAGGGGACGGATACAGTGCGAGATAAAGTGCAAAAGAGAGCCAGNAGAGAGAGAGAGAGAGAAAGAATAGGATCCAACGAAAGCAGGACAGAGGCAGTGTGTAAGGGGAGAGAAATCCAGGGTAAGATCAAGAGGGGATAACAGAGGCCGGTAAACTCGTTACGTGCGCGAATCATGCTTATCGTGGATTTCACTTAGGTATTTAGGATCGGTGGAAAGAGAGAGAGAGAGAGAGAGAGAGAGAGAGAGAGAGAGAGAGAGAGAGAGACGGTGAAAAGGGACAAGGGGGGGAGAGGAAATAACACACGGTGGAACGTGGGGTCGTGGCCGCACCGACGAGGGTGGATTATGCGAAATAACCCCTCTCGGGCTACGCGCCGATTGTGTACGATAGTTATTTTCCTGGACTGTCGCTGAATGGGCCAAGAGAGAGACGAGGGGTCGCGGCTTTGCCGTGTGTATACAGCTCGTGCGGGTCTCTTCCCGCAGCACAGTTTACCCCCTAGGGACGTATTTGCGCCGCCCTGTGCACGTGTACCTACTCCACGGATGTAGCTCGCAATTTGCCTTGCGGCCACTCGACTTCCGGCGAGGGGCTTTTGACGCGCGCAACAACTTTTTTTTTCCTTCCCCCCTCCCTCTATGGTCCCTACTTTCTCTATGGCCGAGGCCCGTTCGACGAACGGAAAGGGGGCGATGGAGAGAGAGATCGCGAGGCGAGATGGTTGGAACGTTGGAGGAGGGGGTAACCACCATCTCGTCACTCGTCGACGTTCATTTTTCAGGGACGTATCGATTTTTCGGGGAACGAAACGAAACTCTTTTCGCGGTCGAGGGAATGATGTTTTTCATCGAGGGATAGGAAAATAGGGAATGATGTTTTTTTTTTTTTTCTTCTTTTTGAAAGAGGATTTTTGTTAAGGGATAAATAAGCTGGGATGTTTGTTTCTTCTAATTGTGTGGAAGTTGTGCGTATTTTTAACTGGGATAAAAATATCTATGATAGAAATGTTGAAATATTTAATACGTTTAAATATTGTAAAAATGTGGAGTTGAATAGAAATTTGGTTTTCCTCTTTTTTTTTTTTTTTTTTTTTTTTAGTTTTTCTATATATGTATATATGTATAAACATGTTTCAGGATGAATTAATTTTGCGCGAGTTGAACAGAGATTGAAAAAGTTTCTTTCCAAACGAATAATACGATCGTATTTACGAAAATACGAAATAACAATGGATTAATTTTTGATTCGATGGAAAGTTTGAACGAGTTCAACGAGTGTTACTATATACAAATCATAAAAAAATTGTTTCTTCGGTGAAAATATAAGAGAAAAATATTATCATGAAATAGGAATTGATACAAAAATCGTATAGATTAAGTAAATTTAATTTTTCGTAAATGTAAATTCTGTATTTATGACAAATACACTTGGAAACGAAATTAATATGAATATTATCGAAAATCCGTCCGTTGTGTTTCACATCTTTCCTATCAATTTTTAATAAACCATGAAACATTTTCGTGTATGTTCTTTCATTAATGCTGCGCATCATGATGTTTCGCGAATGGAAATTAGAAGATATACAAATCATAAATAAAATGGAAAAACAAAATAAAATAGAATCAAGTGTTAACCAAGAGTTAATTACGAAATATCGCACGCACTATTTCACAAATACGCGTTTATTTTTAAAAGAAAGAGAAGAAAGATCGCTAAATAATTTTATCCAAAGGTTTCAAAGATAACCTTTTCGCTTTATCTAAATTCAATTCGGATTCGAAAAACACTCGAATCACAGAAATACATTCGACACTTATACGTATAATAATATACGTTAAGGAGGGATTTCAAACGAGTCTACCAAAAATATAGCGCAGCGTTGGTCGCGAATAATCGACTCGTTTTCATTAACTCGCTCATTTGCCGCGTATTGCCGGAGAGGATTCACAGCCACTGAATCACCGTACAACTTTTCCACGCAATATAACGCTCGACCGATCCAAGAATATGATTTGCATAAATTACCATTTTTTTTTTTTTTTTTTTTTTTTTACCTCGAACGCCTACAGCAACGCGTGCATCACCATTACCATCGCGTCGCATCGTATATATAATCATTCCCGCCGCTTCATACACGACAAAACGTATCGATTACATCTCGACACCTCATCGATCGACGATCGTGACACAACACCGTGTCACCCGCCAAACACGAATAAAACGCCATTTATACCATTCTCTCCCTCTCCTTTTCCACGGGAAAAGAATGAAAAACGGGAGAGAGAGAGAGAGAGAGAGAAAAGCTCGAAAAGCGTAGTCGTGGTCATCGAACGAGCAATAATCGGGCGATGTTCAAAGCGGTACGAAGGGTGGGTCGAAAAACGCATCGACGGCAAGGTTATTTCCATCGGAAATCGCATTTTCGCCGAAGCAATTATTCCGTACCTTCGTTGCATGGAGAATAAAAAAAAAAAAAGAAGAAAAAAAAAAACAATCCGCGTAGCTTGTCCGCGATAAATACGCGGATACACAGAGAAAATCGTGCTCTCCCTCTCCACCCACGGTATTCAATTCGGTATTCGGTATAAGCAACGGAGGAGGAGGAGGAGGAGAGGAGGAGGAGCAGGTCGTCGTTCGTGCAGCGGCGGCAAACGAAACGTAATAGTCCTAAACGAGGTTTAACGCGGCGTGAATAATACGCGGAAAGGGAGGGTGGTAGCAGGGGTTGGCTGGCCCGAGGGGTGGATCGGCACCATAGCGCGTTGCCCGAGGTGCGACTCGTCCATACCTGTGCGTTTAAATACGTGTCAGGGAATATCCTGTGCGCCTGTACAAATGCACCCCCTTGGTTGGCGGCTAGGGTAGAGGGTTGGGATTGGGCTGGCTATGTCTCTCTCTCTCTTTCTCTCTATCTATCTATCTATCTCTCTGTGCGTGCACGAAAGCGTGCGATACGCGCGTGGTGGAAAGAAGAGGAGGAGGAGGAGGAGGAGGAGGAGGAGGAAGAGACAGATAGGACGCGATAGGGCGAAAGAGAGAGGCCCAATCAGGATGGAGGTGGAGAGGGGGAGAGGAGAGGCAGGGAGAATTGCGTTCCAACGTGCAGTGTTATTAAACGAAATATTGATTCAACCCCTGTTTACCGAGTAATACATATTCATGGGGGTTGGCGCTTATGTCTATTTGCCTCTGTCGTCCCTTCAGCCTTTAGCCCCTACTGCCGCTGTCTCATCCATACCATCTACGTATCTCTGTCCTACCTTAAAGCGTACGCCGCTTTTCCTCCCTGTCCCTTCTCTCTCTTTCTCACGTTCTTCTTCTCCTCGGATGGTTTATATCTCGCGGTTTCTCTCTCCGTTCATCGCCACTTCGTTTCCCCCTTCTTCGTTCCAAGCGTTTCAATCCTACGAGAGAATCTCGAAACGCGTCGCCTCCCTCCCTCCCTCCCTCCCTCCTTCCCTTCCTTCCTATATATCAGCATGCACGAAACGTATGTGCGAACGAGGAGTGCATGCACACGTGTAAACGCTGCCGGTTTCACCTTGTACTAGCCACTAGCCGGCGCTCAGTGCACGCGCTGATTATGTCCCCGCATGCCAGTGACGCGTATTACGCAACTGCAGATTGCGGTTTGTGTCATGACCTCGATCAGACGATTTGTAGCGGTCGGGCATGTGCGCTCGTTAAATCGAGGACGGGCCGAACTGATTTTGCGTTTGCAACGGATTTCGTCCCTCTTTTATCTTTTTTTCTTCCTTTTAATCGAAATAGATCGATCTTCATCAATAGCCAAATGATCAATAAGCCAGAATGAAATGTTCAAACAGCAATTCGTTGTAATTTTTCGCCTTGTCAATGATACGATAAAAATTTTACGATCTACCGATTCGTAGCTAAATATATTATTACGTAACCGATAGACAAATACAGCAAAGAACTTGGGAGAAACTTCGTCGAATATTCGTTCGATGAAAAAAAAAAAAAAAGAAAAAAACAATTATCTTTCAAATATTCGAAATCTTTCAAATGTTCGAAACGAACATCTACGGAGAATAACAAAGTTCAATTAACTCATTTGATACTCCAATATACTATAATTCAACGTATAATTCAACGAAAAGAAGAAGAGATAAAAAAAAGAGACGAAATCGCAACCACAATCCCGCTTCCAAATTTGTCTAATGCAAGCCATCGCGCATAAATTACCACGCGTTTCAGAAATTTCGGCTCGACTCCCGTGCTTTTCAACACGCGGCGCGACGCGCGTGCGGAAAGAATAATTCAAGCGTGGCCGGAGGGAGGAGGAGGAGGAGGGAGGGTGGCGGCGAGGGCCGTGCATTCGTTTAGGCCATCGGAATTATTCTAGTCGTGCACGCGAGAACCGAGTCGGAACTCAATTATACGTGCCGCGACGGCCGAATGCCAATTTCGCATTCGTCGACCCCGCTGCTATCATCGTGTACGCGCCGCGTATGAGTATGAGAAAAACGTTTCCCACCGGAAGTCTGTCGTACACGAGTCGCTCCCTGCGATTAAAGGACGCGCCACTCCCTCCGCCTCCTCTAATACCGTGCATACTTACGGCCGGTCATAAAAGTCGATGTGCTATCGGGGATGTATTATTACTTAGGAAATTCTAATTCCCTCCCCCCTCCTTTTTTTGTTTTTAACCATTAGAACCACTTAGATGTAGGTAATGTAATCGTAATCGTAATCTTAATGGTTGAATAAACATGATAATTTTTTTTCGAGTAATAAAATTAATGTTGCGTTTGGAGAAACGTCGTTTCTCAATTTTATAAATTATGAGGAGAAGAAAATGTTACTTAAGTTCTGGCGTTAAGAATAGATTGTCAAATTTGTAATTTATGTCGATTAATATACGGTTTTTTTCGGGATCGTATGTGTGACGAGTATTAAAACATGTCGATTTTATTATCCATTTTCTCACGGATCTCGATGTATATTAGTAATTTTTTCTATGCTTCTTGTTTCATTTAGTGCATTTTATAGTACATACTTTTCTATTTATTTTAATCTCTTTTCCACCTGCTTCGTTCAAACGGTGCAATCCATTATACTTATATATCAAGAAAATTTTACAATAAAATTGTTATTGAATTTAATAACGCAACTTTGCACTTGATATTCACTTGATACGTAAAAACGCGCATAAAGATTTTTCTGGCCGATTATAAGTAACATTACACGCACCCGATTTTAGATTATTATGTAAATTAAATCGAGATCAAAGAAGGGATGCTGATGTCGAGGAAAAAACTTCTTTTTTTTTTTTAAGTAAAAGCTGACGTTCGGCCATAAGATAATGGACACATAAAAATGATTCACCCGACTTAACGACCTTAAATTACCTGCTCGCCGAATAAACGGCCGGTCGCGTGTCCTGTATTTTGTATTAGGTTTTTGCGTGTGTACACCCCTTTCCCTCCTCGGTCACCAAAATATAACGGAAATTCTAAGTGTGGAACATGCGATACCTCGCTTCGAAGGTGAGGAAAGTATATCAGGGTATAAGTGGGGGGCGGGAAAGAAAGGTGAGCGGGGTATGAGGTCCGGTTGAAATGGCCATTTTGTATGCATAGATTAAAGGTTATTAACTCCATCGTTGGGATGAAGATGTGTGCGCAGAGGTGAATTTATATCAGTTTAATATACTTTTTTACCGAGTCAACGATCCAGCGGATATATAATGTATATAATCAACGTTGTGTTGAACGAAGTAAAATGTGTCATTTCGGGTAAAGTGCATGTAATTCGAAGAATAACCTTCACCCTTGTGATCAACATCGATCGATTGGAACTCACATTTTATGATCGATGATCGATGAAAAAAATAAAACTAATTCCATTTACGTGATCCTAAAATTTTTTAATATTTATCCAAATTAATATGATGAAATAACAACTTGAATCGCAATAAGGCATATATATATACGTATATTCAAAATTTATATTCAAAAGAAAATCTTCGATGAGAGTAATTTATCAATGTACGTTTCCTGATGATTTTACGAATTTTTCTCGCGGTAAAAAAATTGACCACCGCGTCGATAAAATTCTTCGAACACGTTTCACGTTGTATATATTCGAGAAATGGCGGTTTCGATCGTCGAACGATTGCCATAACCTTTTCCACGACGGAGACGCGTAATTTCACGATGCACCTGTTGCGATATTCCGACGTGTAACGCAGCAATCGAGCAACCCGCTCTCGTTCCTCGGAAAATTAGTCAATTACGGAGCATGATGCGCACTTACCCCAATTATGGAGTTCAGCTCCGTCATCGTGACCTGTTTCGCCCTATCAACAGCGGTCGCCACTTGCTGCTGATGCTCCTGAGACAGAAAGGGCAGGATCTGTCCGATGATCGCGTTCAGTCTCTTCGATATTTCGGCCTGCAACCATACAATTGTTCTCCAGTGAACACGATGAATAATTTTTTTCCCCCTCTCCTTTTCTTTTTTAACTTGGCATCACACAGTGGACGCGTGAGAAAACGTAACAAAGGATGCACAGAGGATGGAAGGAAGATTTTTATTTCGCGGGTTGTTCGCGTGCTTTCCAACCGAGAGAAATATTTTTGGCCCTATATCTCTTTTCCTTCATCGGCGAACGAAGCCATTCGATCACTTTGACACTTTTATCCGTGGACAATCGTTTTATTTAGGGGAGGAAAAATTTCGAGGATTTTTTGGATTTGCTCCTATATAAGGGAGGATATTTTTTCGCCGATAAACCGCCTTTTTCTCCGACGTAAGGGGAGAAGGGACGATTCTTGGAAAACTTGGAATGATAGGAAAGGATATAGAGGGGGAGGGGGGATTCAGGTTGCGCGGTTGGAAAGTTTGATAAATACTTGGTTAATTTCGAGGTAAAATCACGTTCGAGATTTTATATGAATAGTTTTATTCAGCCGGCTAGGTCATTAATCCTTGCGGTTAAGCAATACTGGATATTTTATATCGACTGGTTGATACTCGATAAGCTACTTTCGAAAGCCGCCTATAATTTGAATTTGTATTTTCATATTTTCGTGACCGATCGTTTATTCCTATGTACGTAATTAATTTCTATTTATTTGAATTTAAATTAATTCCTATTAATTTTAGTCCCGAATAAATTTCATTTATTTCTATTAACGATGCGTTTCGCCGAAGCGAATAACGTTTTTTTCCTCGAGTGAAAAAAAAAAAAAAAAAAAAAAAAAAAAAAAAAAAAAAAAAAAAAAAAAAAAAAAAGAAAAGAAAAAGAGAAAAAAACGAAGAAACGATCGTCAAAAATTTCCAACGTATTATTATTATATTATTATTATTATTATTGTTGTTGTTATTCGTGCCGCTCGTTTCATTCCTTCGATGATTCAATATACGCGTCTTTCAATATTCGCACGTGTAATAAATTTGTCGAAAGGCAAGTGTCCCTTCCCCCCTCCCCACCGTTCCGTTGTACGAAAATTGGAATTCATCGGAATCCGTTTTTCGTCGTCACGTGTCAACGTGATATATTTTCAAAACGATATTTTCAACGTCGGGCGTCAACGTCAACGTCTCTCCTCTTCAACGTGTCAAGCGCGCGGAATGCGAGCTCGCGATCACCCGTCGAACTCGCGTATATTTCTAGAGCGCGGGCGGGCCTCTATTTTCGTCGCGGGAAGCTCGCAAAAGGCGGCGGCCACCGCGGAAATAAGCGTCGCGTATTCCACACGCAAGGTGGATGATTAACGAGACGGGTATAAAAGGTTCGCGTCACGGCTCGGTTTCGCCGGTTTAACGAGCCGATCCGATGCGATTTCCGCCCCCCTTTTTCGCATAGTTTTATTTAAGGGAGGAAAAATTTCGAGGATTTTTTGGATTTGGATTTCCTGAAAGGGAGGATATTTTTTCGCCGATAAACCTTTTTCTCCGACGAATCATTGCATAGGCCGGATAAAATGTGGGGGCGAAGACGGTATTTATTTTTTTTTTTTTTTTTGCTATTTATTTATTTGTTAAAAGTTAAGTTAAGTTCCAATCAAATTTCTAATATTAATCTTTTCCAGATTTCGAAATATGCAAAGGAATAAAAGTGTTAAGGATTATTGTAAGGGGATTGTACGCAGTGCCGACAGTGTGAAAAGTTGGATAATAAGTTAAGATAATAAGTTAATAAAAGTTTTTATTTCGTCTCGTCGGAAGAAGATTGATCGTCGTTGAAGGATTATCAAGAAATAATTCTGCAATGTAAAATTCCGTGTTATCTTTTTGCAATTGTTTATCGTTAAACCTATCTATCCTATTTAGTGAATCTCGATGATCAAATTTCGTATCTTCAATTTTGATACAATGTATAAATAATATCTTAAGACTTTCGAACTTGACGATAAGTTGAGTAAAAATGATAAATTCTAATAAGTCGTAATAGATAACGAATTAAATTAAGGTTATTAAGAAGTGTAAAGGAAAAAAATAATTTATCTGTTTGCAGATAGATCGGCAAATCTCTATAAGCCTCATTGATTATCAAGCTTTTCGATCAAGCCTTGTATTTTAATCTCTTGTGCGACACAAATATTTTTCTAATAAATCTGGATCGACATCGAGTTAAACGATATTAATTAATAAATACAAAACGTATTTTTCCTCCAATTCCTTCAATTAATATTTTTGATTCATAAAGAAACGTTAAAAATCGTAATGCTTTCGTTCCAAGCATCGTATTCAATAAAAAGAAAAAATTATAGAAAAAGAAATACACACGAATCAAATTCATCGAACGCGCAAAACGTCCCCCCCCTCTCGAGATGGTCAGTCGACAAAGTGAATCGAAAATGGCATATCGTTGGCCGTGCGTCGCGGAGTCATCACGCGGAGGCAAATGTTTATTCGGCCGTGTACGTGGGACAAACTTATATCCCTCTTTAATGACTCGGGTAAACACGCGACGTTAACCGATGCGGGGCCTCGAAGAGAGCGAATGGATGGCAAAGGCTTGTCGCCAAACAGAGAAGGAAAAAGAATACAACGAACGGTTTGCGTGTTAATTTCCCGTGGTGAGACAATGTTGTCGCGTGTTGAGAGAGACGACCACGATGAAGAAACTTTGCGAAAGGGAGCAGTAGTGAAATTTACCTGTTTGTGCATCTCCACGTTTAGCCCGTACGACATCTCGTAGTACTGCAACAGAGAGAATGTGAATCAGTCGATCGTTCGGCGTAAATGAATAAAATAGGAAAAATAGGGGAAGGAAAAAAGGAAACGAGAAAAGTCGCGCAATATTTTTAAGGAACGAGGGCGAGGAACTTGATGGAGAGAGAGAAAATAAAAGAAAAAAGGAGGAAACGAGAGGAAAAGTGAGTTGAATAAATTAGTGAGTGGGAGATTTAGTTTTTAATTTTTTAAAATTTCAACTTTAAATACGGATACACGGAGCGTATATGGTATCTCTTCGTTCTAACTCGAATGCAATGTTTTTTCGCTGTATCCATGAGATTATGTCAAATTAGTAATTATAATGATAATCCAAATTTATGTACGCGCAGAATACGTGCATCTTGCAAATAAGGGATGGGAAATTTAATATATGGATAACTTTTATAACTCTGCTCAGGATTAATTATATTTTGTAATGATACTGAACTCTGAAATCTGTCGAGCACGCGAATGGGTTTAAGGAGAAAAGTGTAAGGTAATAGAGATAGTAAAGTAAAAAAAGTGAGTTTTTCAAGATTTATTTTCGAGAGTTACGAGAGTTGGATTTAATGTAAATTAAGCGTCATGCGTTAGACGGGGGTCCGTTATTTCAAAAAATATGCACTTTCATTACGTACAATGTCATTATACAATCGTTTCGTCATTTTGATGCTTTTAGTAGAAATAACAGGCGGTAATAGGTTGCATAACGTCCCAGCGCTATGTTTTCCCGATGATAAAGGAAAATTCATAATATTGCAGAAACACATCAAAAAAAAAAAAACGAAAGAAGAAAGATAAAAATTCAACTGCTTTACGTCCACATAATATTCTCTCATTTTCTTCGTTTATAATTACTTTTTCGAAGCGATGACAATAATTAACTTTCACATAATATCCACGGTTATACACACAATTGTAATATTACTAAAATAGAAAGAATACACAAGAATCTTTCACGGAATTGCAAAACGTTGAATTTCTATTACACCGTCAAAATTACTACGAAAAGAAAAAAAAGAAAAAAAAAAATTCAACAACAATTAGAAACGAGAAAATAAGAGGAACGATATCCAAAAATTTAAAGCTAGATAATATAAAATAAAAATTGATCTCGCCTTTAATCTCGCTTAAAGATAATAAAGAAAATTACACGCTCCCGAAAAAAAACCTTTCGCGATCATTGCGCGTCGTTTAAAACGGAAACGAGGCTCGACGAAAATAATAATATCGCGTCGGGTCCGCTGCGTTACGACATCGAGGGGAACTCCTAGAATTCCCGATGCGAAGTGTCTTTCATCGGCTATCAACGGCGGTCGTTAGCGGGGCCGCGATGAGGCGGTCATAATTACGGTAAACGAGCATTTTACCGAAGAGACCGTTTTGTAGCGTCATTACTTAACAGTCAACTCCGAAGTCTCACCGGCGCGCGGTCATTTAGCATCGTGTCCATACGGTGGCCGCAGCGGCCACTCTCTTCAGTGCCGGCAATTTAACATCATTTGCCAGATTCGTCCGCGTCTTCCTTCGTTGTTACTTTTTTCCCTCTCTCTCTCTCTTCATCTCTCCTATTTTTCTTTCTCCCCTTTCACTTCCTCTCGATCGAGAAAAGGAGAAAGAGAGAGAGAAAGAGAGAAACATCGCTTGGCCACCACCTGTCCCTCATCACCGCCTCCCTCCTCGCGTCATTAACATCCCCGGCTACCATTAATCTCGAGAACGAGCACGGCGTTCAACTATATCCTCCCTCTCCTCTCCTCTCGGTATGCGGCTCTGCACTTTCCGCGGTAACGCGTTATTAATTATCGTTAATCGCGATAAACTTAATCGAGTCTAGCCGAGTACACTCCAGAGAGAGGGCACGAGCGACGGTTGTATATATATATATATATATACGATTTTGCGCGAGGGAGCGAATTGGAGCAGGAGGGAAAGAGAGAGACAGGGCTAGGGGCGCAGAAAGTGAATAAGACAGGAGTAGGGGATTGAAACGAGACAGGCGCGCGAGCGCGCGCGTGAGAGAGAGAGAGAGAAGAGGAGGAGGAACGAAGGGGGTGGCAGAACGCGTACAACACGCTCGAGAGCCAGGTACAGGTTCTTAATTTTACGGGCCATTAGCCTCGTAATTACACGGGCGAATTAATTGCGTCGTAAGTAAGTTATTCCACCCGAGGGAGAAGGGGGTTGAAGCGAGCCACCGATGGAAAGGAAGGAGCGGGTAATAGAGGGTTGAGAAGAGGCGGGTGAGGAAAGGAGAGAGAGAGAGAGAGAGGAAGAGAGGAAGAGAGGACACACAGGAGGAGCAGCAGAGGTTGTTAAGATCAACTGCAGCAAGCAGCGGGAACCGGCAGCGACGACGATCAGCACACCAGCCATCCCAGCCCTTAGTAGTAGCGCACTCTCTGGACCAACTTCCGCGACTCATTATGGCTTGCACAACAAATTAACGTGACGGGCCTCGACCCCTGGTACACCGGCGTCCTTAACGTGGCGCTTGTTAATGAACTCGACAAAGAGAACGAGAAAAAAGCACGCGATCTCTCCTCCCCGATTCGCCTCCTCCCCCCCCTCGTTTCCTTATCTCCCCCTCGCCAATCCTCCCCTCTCTTTCTAATCTCTTCCTCTCCATCTCTGTCGTCGGCTCCGCCTTGCCACCGACACCCCACCGAGACGTAACCCTGTACACTGTCGTTTAAGCGAGTTAACAAGCGATCTTTTGTCGGAGGCCTGGCCCTTTTTTTCTTCTTCTTTTTTTACCGCCTCCGGTATTATTGCTCCTCTGTGCAAGAGAAAGAGAGAGGGTGGTCTTGTTGAGGAGGGGATCTAAGGGGGAGGTGCGATTCGGATCGACAGATTTTTCATCGAAATCGAACGTGGCGAGAGATGAAGCGTTCAAATCGAACATTGAAAAAAATTACACGCGAATCTATATGGTATATTATCGTGATTTTTATCGGGATGCAAAATCTATAAACGATTATTTATGAATTTCTAATTTTTATTTTTTTTTTTCAAGCTAAACTCTGGACGTGCTCATTTTTTTTTTTTCTTTTTTTTTTTTTTCACAAAGGCAAGGACGGCGCAAACATAACGATAAAAGCGTCAGTTTTCACTTGCGTTTCGAAACGCTAGACAGGAAATTTTAACTAAAGAGGTCAATATAATAACATCGACTATAAAACCGTCAAACATAAACCTCGAAATTCAGAAAACGTTCCTCCGTTACGGCGAAACGAAATGAAACGAGCGATAAAAAGAGAAATTTCACGGTGCTAATACCTGTACAGTTATCGTAAGCGAAACGATGAAACCAACACTTGGCTGGAAATATTTACGAGGACGTTCATAGAAGCCGGTATTCGTTAGCGTGGAACAATGCGTTTAGTGCATGTTACACGCAATAATAACGTCCCGGGGGCAACGAAATCTACATTCCACGGTAACAGAAATTATGAGGCAGAACGTGTCTTGGTATACCTCGCCGAGTAACAAACGTGGCTCGTGTCGATAAATCTCCGTGGAGTTCTCTCTCTCTCTCTCTCTTTCTGCCCCCTCCCCCTCCCCGAGCCGACTTCCTCCACGCCCGTGTTGGCTCGTTCGCTTGATTAATCGTGTTTAAACTAGTCGCCTCCGCGCCAATTAAGTCTGTACAACGGCCCGTGCAACAGCGGCAAGAAAGGGGAGACGAGGGAGATACTCCCTCTTATCCGAGTGTCCGAGGGAAAAACAGGACCCGAGGAGGAACGCCATATCGAGCCGTGAGTAAGGGACAACGATAAATTAGTATATTCACCTATCTCGAACAAGACGTATTATTCTATTCTTCCAATTCTTTCTTCGTATATATCCGATTTTTAAAGTCTGAATTCGGATACGAGTGAAAATATCGTTAGAAAATGGATAAGTATGAATTTTTCTTGAAACATTTTTGGAGGAAGATTGGAAGATTATATTCTTGCCAATTTTTTTGTTGGTATATATTCGAAGATATCGTTAGAAAGTGGATAAGGAAGTATGAATTTTTCTCGAAACATTTTTGGAGAAAAATTGGAAGATTATATTCTTGCCAATTTTTTTGTTGGTATATATCCGATTTTTAAAGTCTGAATTCCGATACGAGTGAAAATATCGTTAGAAAGTGAATAAGGAAGTATGAATTTTTCTCGAAATATTTTTGGAGAAAGATTGGAAACATTAATACACGTGTATTTTTATATCGATGATCCTGTCAATATTATGCGGAAGAATCCTGTACTAAAACTAATTGAGATGGATGAAAAACATAATTTTATTAGCGAAGAGAAACCACTTGAAACAAGTTCAAACTTGCTACTGAATAATCTTAGATTTTAACGTGCAACAGAAAATTATGAGGAAACATAAATAACAAAACGTAACAATCTCTTGGAAATGGATGAAATAAAAAAAACGCGCAAGGCATGCGGTTGTCTATATTACGTACACATAATACCTCAGAATTAATAGAGGAACACGTTATAGTTGTTTTCTTACTCGTAAACTTGCTAACATGAACTCCGCCTGCATGTAAATATTCTATGTAAAGTTTCTATCTAAAGTAGAAACTAAAATAAATTGGTTTACAATGTGAAAAAAAATTAGAAGAAAAGAAAACTTGACCAAAGCATACAATCTATTAAAAGAAAACCTTGTAGAAACCTTTCAACATCCAACCCTCTTTTCTCACTTCCGACGAGACGAAACATTTCGAATATTGATACGACAAAAATAATCGAAACCGATTTTTCCTTCCAACGTTCTAAATAACCTAAAATAAATTAATTTACAACGTAAAAAAATTTTTAAAAATTCGTTCAAAACGCGTTTCCAAAATTTTCTAACATCGACTTCTTATTCTTCTTACTTCCGAGAACCGAAACATTTCGAATTAACGTGGCAAAAATAATCGAAACCGATTTTTCCCCCCAACGTTCCAAATAACCTAAAATAAATTAGTTTACAACATAAAAAAATTTTTAAAAATTCGTTCAAAACGTTTCCAAAATTTTCTAACATCGACTTCTTATTCTTCTTACTTCCGAGAACCGAAACATTTCGAATTAACGCGAAAAAAATATCGAAACCGATTTTTTCCCCCAACGTTCAAAATAACCTAAAATAAATTAGTTTACAATGTAAAAAAAATTATAAAACGCATTTCCAAAACTTTCTAACATCGACTTCTTATCCTTCTTACTTCCGAGAAGCGAAACATTTCGAATTAACGCGGCAAAAATAATCGAAACGGAATATTTTTCGCGAATAACCCAACATGAATTAATTTACAACGTGAAAAAAAATGGAAGAAGAAAACTCGATCAAAATCCATTAAAAAAAGGAATATAAGAAAATAAATCTTCCCAACACACTTCCAAAAACCACTTTCTAACTTTGGAGAAGCGAAATATCTCGAATTAACACGACCGATTCTTTCAAACGTCCCAAATAAGCGATACGATATCAACGTCGATTAATTATGTCACCGGGACAACGATAAACTTCCACTCCCACTCCGTATAAACCAGCTCCCTCCCTATACACGCACGCAGTCCAATTTTGCGAGGGTTAACTGCGGGGCATTTACCATGAAAACGCCCGGCAATAAATCCCATCTTGCGTGCGGCGGGCGAGCGCGGCTCGGATTTCCTCGCGGGACACGCGGATCGGTATAATTAGACTGGTTTACGGCGGTCGATCGTTGGAAAGCATTCGGTTATACAAGCCAACCAGGGCAACTACATTATCCTTCAGCATTGCTCGCGCGCCGTTATATCGCTCTCGTATTACTTTGTCATTAGGTGTCCGAAGACGGGTCATTGTATATTCTCGTCGGTGAACACCGTAACCGGTATATGTTCTTTAAGTATATATCGTGCTTTTACGTGGTTTTTATATTGAATTGTCGATGAGGAGACGAAAATTACGATCAATGCAAAAGCAAGCATTCAATATAATGGAGTAGAATAGAAGTTTAATTTTTTAAATATTCAAAAGAAAAGAATATCGATGAAAGACGAGGATGGTGAGGTATTTTTAACTTTTTTAACTTTCAGAAATGTTGAAAATATGTCACCGCATTTTACAAAGCGGCTGTTTATAAATCCATTGATAAAAGTGATTTATCAGAAAAATTATTTCCATAGAAGAAATAAAAGAAATTATATATATGAACGAATAAGTCAATCTTTGTCAATCCTGGAAATATTTCCAGACAAAATTTTATAACTGTAGTTACTTCCATAATTTATCAAAGCATAATAATTGCGAATAACCGAGATTATAATAGCTAATAACGAGTAAATATTATTTAAGCGATTATAATAAACAATAACTTTATTCGAAATTTTTAACTTAAATTACTTTTTAAACTCTGTTTCCAGGTGATAGAACACTTCCCAATGAGAAATCGATGAGAACCTCTGCTCTCTTACGATCATTAGCTATGCACAGTAGGTGCGCAAGATAAATATACAGATACACGAGCGAACACGTGGCCCGTCTTTGCCTGTCCATGTCTTTGTGTATATACCTGAACAGGGGAGATGCGCGCGGTGTAACAGGCCAATGTAAAGTCGGTGCGGCGAGGATGCAATTAATGCTAAGAAGCCGAGGTGGTTTAGCGGTCGAGCAAGCATGATTATCCTGGATACGGAAAATGGGCGAGCGTGAGAGAGAGAGAGAGACTGTGATATCGGGGGCAAGAGCGAGACAGATATCTGAGAGAAACTTTACTAAGGGTATATAGGTGTGGATAGACAGAGAGAGAGAGAGGTGGAAAGGAAGCACAGACTTAACCGGAATTAGTGCTACGGAATGGTAATTCCTTACCATCACGTAATGTCGCTGAATCTCGATCTTCTCCGTGGCCAATTTCTCGCACTCGAGCTTCAAGCTGTGAACAGAGAGAGAGAGAGAGAAAGAGAGAGAGTGGAGAGAAGAGATTAAATGATTTTAGTACGATCGTATGTTCCTCTTTATCTTATACTATGAAGGATGAAGTGTTAGTGTGCGAGGGTGTATTGTGTGTCGAGTGGCGGTCAAATCACGTTAAGCCTTTAATGCTCGATTCTGTTTTGAGATTTACAAAGGAAATATCTTGGAATATCAGATTAACAGTGTGGTGTATCATTAAAATGAACAAAATGTTCATTCGCCGTATGCAATATTCAATAATTGAGGAATTAAATTACAAATGGAAAAATTGTTATGTATTATGAAATATATGTAGCATTGTAGATTCTTTTTTTATACCATTAAAATATAATCTTTGTTCTAAGAGTATGATAATCCAAGGAACAAATTTTGGTGCTGATCTTTTTATAAAAAAATTATTCTTATTCCCTTCAGTCTTCAATTATAAATTTTAAAATTGCAAGTATTCGAGTATATATGACTTAACATAAATATCTTGTATCATTTATATTCACACCTGCTCATGTTATAGATCAAAGGGTTAAATTCGAGCAACCGTGATCTTAATCCCCATCAGGTTTGCATAATATTAATATTAACGTTGATATTAATTGTCGTCGATTATGCATACGTAATGTACACGCGATACCTATTTATGCCGCATTCTCTTCCTCCCCAATCAACTTCTCTTTCGAGAATCATCAATATGTCCTGCAATAAATAATAAGTATAACCGAGAATATAGCGAGTCTACGCGTAAAAAAAAAGGGGAATAAAAGATATAGATAAGATAATACGATGATACAAGTTATTTGGAAAAAATTAAGCTTAAAAGTTCTTTGCACAGGTGCATCTATATGAATTCTATAAAATTTTCAATAAACGTATCGTCGTTGATCATACATCGATAGAAAAAAAAAAAAGAATGATAATATTTAATACCGATAATATTTAATTGCACTTTTCTTAGATAGAAAAGTGTAGTATAAATATTAATCGATACTTTCGTTCGTTAAAAATTTCGAATAATCGAAAGCTTTGAATTTTAGAAATCCTTCGTAAACTTGAAATTTAAAAACGTATACGATAATTTTTCGCCGTTCTATTTTTGACAAAAATTTTCTCCTCTCAAACTCAAACTTTCTCGTATCAACAAATTTTTACCTCTCTACATCTCTCATTCATCTTTGATTACAGAATCACTCTACCGTTGGTTATACCATCCACGCTAAACGGACCGTACATCATACGTTCTCGCGTGCGCGTATCGCGATATATTCGAGACGACGTTTGAAATATTCGTTCGTACGACCGAAGCCTTATCATCTCTTTTTCTTACAACCCGCATCATCGAACTGGCGAACAATGCCAGTGCAACGTGTACGTATATACATTTTGCCAACTTCAAAGTGAATATAAAAAAAAAAAAAAAAAAAAAAAAGAAGAAGAAAAAGAGAGAAAGAGAAGCTCGAAACTTCCGGCTGGGAAGTTGCAGGTTGTACAATGAACAATGAAAGTTTCGATCCGCGAAACGTTGAAAAATGCATCAGCAGCGGGACCGATGCTTCCTTAATTTCGTATTCGCGGTGGCTACGGGTGTCATTACGTGTCTGCCAATAGCCACGTTGTCGTAAATCACTTATGGCTTTTGTGTATATCGCGTGCAAAGCCAAGGAAGCAGCTGCGCGAATTCCCAGGCTCTTTCCACGATCCGCCACGATGGTTGGTGCGGTTGGGTGGTAGTAGAGCCGCTGGCTGCCGCGCCGGTGGCTACGTATGCAACTTCGAGACAAAAGAGGAGAACCGAAGAGAGAGGCTGAAAGGGCTGATGAGCAGGTGCCACTCTTCAATTTCAATCGTTTTACCGTACCGCTTAACCGTACTTTTTTTTTTCTCCTTTTCTTTTTTTTCACCCCCTTTCCCTTCCTTCCATTCCCCCATTTCCCTTTGCCCTTTTTTTTATTTTATTTTATTTATTTATTTTTTTCTTTTTTCTTTTTTTTTTTTTTTGGTTATATAAGATTTAATAAACTTATTCGGGCCGGAAGACCTTTTTCGGATTAACTCTCTCTGGCCACCCGGTCTTTTTTAATATTAATTCCCCTTCGGTCCGTTCGAATGGGGGGAGAAAAAAGAAGAAAGGGAGGGGGGGAAGTTTAATAAGGTGACTTGCAAATGATATAAAGATCTCCGGAGCCGAATTTCTTCGGATGATCGTTTTTTATATTCTGGTTAAGCTCGTTTATAATTGAAGTTCGTTTTTGCTAGGGAATTTTTTTTTTGTCACTGCTCGAAAAATCGATTTCGTCCCTCGTGTTCTCGACTCAAGTTTTAGGGTGAAGAGATTTTGTTAATTTGGTTGTTAAGTATCAAATATTTTAATGGCAATAAAATTATTGTTTAGGGATTTTTTTATTTTTTATTTTATTAGAAAACGTTAGATCTCTTTCTCTAGATTTTCTTTTCGCGAATTTGGAATTGTGTGTAAGAATTGTATCTATGTAAAAGTTACACGATACATCATATAATGTAATTGTGTATGTAACATCCTTTATATTTATAACGTTTGCACATATAAATTATATATAAATAAATATTATAAATAATTACAATATATGATGTAAATATAACTTTTTTTCGTGTAATGATGATAACGTGTTAAAAACAAGCGATATTATGATATACAAGATCTTTCTTACTTACGCATGGCATTGATTCTGCAAAAAGTTAAATTCCTCTTTGATCCTATCGCAGGATTCTCCGACTGTGAATTTAATTTGTTGGCCGGGTTGCGGCGGACCCTGAAACAAATATATAAAGAAAACGTTAATAATCCAGCAATTAAATTAATGATCTTGTTATTTCTTTGTTCGATTTCTTAAGCGGTTAACAGATGTTTGTCGAGTTATCCAATCAACAACGAACGATTGTTTTTTCCCTTACTCGATAATTCTTATTTTTCCTTCTCTTCATATATTTTGCGGATAAACGTTGTTTGCAAAATGTTACGAAATGTTAAAAAAAATATTAAATTTAATTTTATAATAAAACAAAATATCATCATTTCAAACGCCATTCTTAACGATAATGGCGAGTTAAACGCCAAAAAATATCGGATTTCACAGTAATAATAAACTATGGTTTAATTCGCGAAAGCTGGGAAATATAGCGGTTAGAATATCTAACTACATCGTGTATGATATAACGCAACAGCATGTAAAACACGAACAAACTTTGCAGTCTAAAGTTTACTTCTATTCGTGGCGCATGTTGCGCGAAAACCACCGGCGCAAGATTGCATATCATTATCTTTTTACTCGATACACGATTCTCGTATGAAAATTAAAAATTGTAGTATCCGTTTTGGATGCTATTCGTTTCGTTTCTTAATTTACCTTTGTTGCCGTGATACGTTAAATCGATAAAAAAAATATAATAATAAAATATCATTGTAAGAACTGTATTACACAATCTAACGACTTACTTTCGAATTCTGTACAAATAAATTTCAAATTCTCCTTCGCATAATTTTTATACACTTTCATATTATTGCAACAGATGAACGAATTACGAATTAAAAAAATAACTTATCAAAAAGTTTAAGTTTTTACAATCCTATATAACTTTACCGATTCCTTCCAACAAATTCGTAAGAAATAAATTAATTCCAACGATATCAAACACTCTCTTAATACTCAAAAAACAAAATAAAAATTCCTTTTCGCATTTTTCCACTTGAAAACCTTCCCCCTTCCCTCCCCCCTCGTTAAATCCCACCAACATTCATCAAGACTCCGATTCTTCTCGGAGTTTCTTCTTCCCGATAAGTATATCCCGAGAGAAAAGAATTCGATACGCTCCAAATAAAAAAAAAAAAAAAAAAAAAAAAGAACCAAAGGCCAAAGAGAAAAAGAACGGAAAAAAGAAAAGAGAGAGAGAGAAAGAGAAGAATAATAGGGATAATAAAAATGAGAAGGGAAGAAGGCGACGGAAGCCGAGCGGTGCGCGCGACGTGAATAAGCGTCAATGCCGGCGGTGAATAATTAATTTCACACAGCTGTTCACCGTGAAGGAGCGGAATGGATGCAGGAAGTAATGCGTTAGCCGATTCGCGGCCCCGCGAAGAAAAGGGGGGAGAATCAGACAGGCGTAGCGAAGAGGCGAAGGTGATGGCGCGCACCGGTTGCCTCCGCGGTAAACAGCGGAGAGACATCTAAACGCCATCGGCAATTGCGCACGCGCGGATGGCCCCCGCAACGTTGTAACGTTAATGCAACGCGATAACAAGATTCCACCGCGGCGGATAGATCTCGGCCGTGCCTCGGGGGAATATCGCGATTCGAAAACGATTCGGTTTCGCTCGGGGAAATTCCGAGCGTGTTTCGAAAGACCGACCACCGATTCGAAACGCCCGCGGCCACCATCCCTTTGCGCGCGTATTTATATACCGCGTGTCTCCTAAGAGTCTACTAAGAGAAATGAAACGTGTATCATGTTCAGTTACAACGAAACTAATCGGGTGGATGTTTTTAAGCAACGGTTTTATTCGAGGCGATTTGAAACAGGGGGGAAAAATATACGGGGGGAAGTTTTGGTACGGATTCTCGAGAGATACGGTTGACACGGGTGTCGGGCTCTGCGGACGTGATTTCGAACGTTATTGAGGATACCGAAAGATATGTTTCGAATAATATGAAAGGAGAAATGTGTTTTATACGAGAGGAATATGTAAAGTTGGCCGGTCGATCGATCCAACTTGGATAGATGGCTCGTACCTGTTTCATGCATCGATGGATACTGCAAATCATAGGTTTTAAGTTTCGATCTTAGCGTATGCATAGTACGTTCTTTTTAAATGTTATTATAAAATTCACGATGAAACTTGTTCGGAAGATTAATGTAAAACGATCGTGTAATTTTATTGGCACAACTTTAGAATTTAGTTAAAGAATTTTGTTAACTGATCGATTTTAACAAAGGATATTGTTAAACACAGTTATTATCAATTAATATAACGTATGAAGATCGAAGAAAACGGGAATATTACATATTCCATATACTTCTATATCAAACAAAAATTAAAATATCTTAATAATCTTTGATAAACAATAAAACCTTTCTACATACATATATATTCATCATACATTTCTTCGTATAATTTTGCTTCGACAATCTCTTCTTCAAATCACAAGTCACGAAAAAAAAACTAAACAAAAAAAAAAGAGAGAAAGAGAGAGAGAGATCAAAAAACACCAAGATTAAAACTAAAATTGGAAAAATCTTCGTTCCTTTGTACGAATCGTTGCGAGATTAAAGCGCGAAAACATTTACGTTTCCTCCGAGGACACCCCATATAACGGAGAGTCTTATTCGTTACATCGGTTTGCATGCGCACACGATTACACGGGCGCACAGTCAACACGATCTCGACTGACTGCAGCGGCTCGTAGAGAGAGAGCAAGTGTTAATTACATGTTTGCGGTGTCCACGAGGATTACACGCTACAACCGAAACTATGAACTTGCGAGTACCGCCACACACGTGTACGTGTGCGTGCAAATGCACGTGGGCGCCCATCCGAGTGCACGTGTGGAGGCCAAGAGTGAGGGTGTCCTGTTAACTACATTCGCACCGCCCTGCCTACGCAAGCGTCGTCCTTCGACCGACCTGTAGATCGTGTCGGATACGCTCCCCTACAACCAGAATCACGTTAACCGGCGAGTGTCTCTGTTGAACTCGTGAAAATCGATCGAAGCGGCGACACAGCTTGTGTTGGAAAGACGGTTTTCGCGAATATGAATATGATGACCACATGCATTCGGACTGAGAATCATAGCTGATGTGGATTATATGTTATGGAAGAAATTTATATTTAAAAATTTTGTATTTATATAAAAAGAAACAAAAATCGGAAAATCGGTTTCGCGTGTTATATGTTTATTGAGGAGGGTTGAGAATCGTTGTGGCGTATATCGTATGAAAAATATTTGGAGAAATTTATATTTGGAAAAAAAAAAAAGAAGAATTTATGGAGGTATGTTTTTAATACTACGTTGGTTTTAATACTGATTTTAGATTATATATAGTATCTAGGAAATAACATACGTTGCATGATTTAAAATAGTGTGAGATTATACATAAAGTTGATTCTCAGTCCTACAATGAAAATGTATATCGTGCATTCGATGGATAAATATTCGAATATCTAATTGAAAAATAAAAATAGATAGGCTTCAATGTGATGAATTAAAAAAATGAAAAAAAAAAACAATAAAAATAAAAATCCTTTCCAATATAAATTTTCCTTACGTCATTAATGTGGCAAATAACCGATCTATACTCGGCAATAAATACTTATTTACTTCGTACCTTATTTCGCTTCGCTATTCGATTAACTAACATATTGAGAGAGAGAGAGAGAAAAAAAGAAAAAAAAAGAAAAAAAAAGAAAAAAAAAAAAATCGTGCATCACAATGACCAGAATGAATTATGAATACATTCCCCGATCAAAGCGAGCACATTAAAGAAAACATCCTGAAATAATTTCAATTCACCCGTAACAAAGATAACAACCCATTATCCGACGTTCAAGAAAATACCTTCATGTTACCTCCACCTTTCGTTTCCATCGGTTAACGTGCGTAACAAACGCGAATCAGATTACCGCGAGAGCGGTCGCCGCTCCCCCTTTGAAAAGCAAAACGCGAAACGAACTCTCCTTAATCGCATCAATTATTCCACGTATACAGCTTCGTACGATTCATCAATCTTTGCGGAACGTTCCAGTCTTGGATCGTTCGCATTTGCCTGATAATTTGCGAAACCCCCCTCTCCCCCCTCCCCTCACCTCCCCCCCCCCCTCCTCCGGTCGATTACTTCTCCCTCGAAAGAGAAGAAAAACAAAAAGGTTGCTGATTAATCAGCGTCTGCATCACGGCACCGCGTAAGTTCTTCAACTGAAGCACGTATTCTCGAGATGCTCCGTGAACCGTTCAAGGAGCATCATCGATGGAACAAGAGAAGGAGGAAGAAGGCTAGCCTTACCCGAGGAGTTATCTCGGGTTAAGCTAGAAGTGCATCGGGTACCTCCTGACCTCGATCACAATCGAGCCGTTGTAATCGAATGAACCGAGAGGAGCATGGTCCCTCTCCTTGTTCGGTTCAGCTGTCGACCAACTGAATCGATCGCGGAATCCATCGAGTCTCTCTTTGTGCTAAGTAAGATTCTTGCGGTACCTAACCTCTCCGTGCTTCCTCTCCGTCTTGCTCCTTTTATTCCCCTCGGAAAAGAAACTCGATCGTCTACTTTCGGCGAAATATCGAATTCGAACCGTGAAATCAAGGTTGTAGAGTAGGCAAGTGATAAACGAGGGGCATTCGCGGGCGAACGTTCAAAGCAAATTTCTCTCTTTCTCTCTCTCTCTCTCTTGAAATCGTGAAACCGTTTATAGAAATTATGTAAAGGAAGGGATGAAAATAGAAATTAAATCTTTCTCAAATTGGATTTTTTTGTTGAAAAATATAATAATAACGGGTATTAAAAATCGTGAATATATTATGTTTAAAAGAAAGATACGTAATTCTATTTGTGTACCTAAAAGATTGTATATTTATTTATCATTTCGGTATACTTGCGAAAAATCTAACTATTATCGTTTTAATCGATAATAGAAAATTAGATAATAGAACATTTCAAAAGACAGATTTGATCTGCAGAAAGTTTCAAATATTCCATATTATCCGTGAACGATATTAAATCTACAGATATTGAACGCAAATCGTTCAAGCTGCATAATACTTAACGCAATTCAAGAACCATCACTAATCCATTCTGACAAAAGCTTTATTGAATTCCATGCATTTCGTTCGTTTTATTTTCGTGAATCCTTAGACCATAATTATGCCGATCTTACAAACGATGCGGTGTTTAATTAATTCGCAGAAAATTCTCTTCTTGATTTGTCTTTGTCAAATACTTACATCTCCGATACCAAGTGCATATATCTACACACATACACGTGTACACCGTGTACACACGTCTACGCAGCTTGTTGCAGCAGTTTAAACGGTTCTTAACGCAAGCGGGCACTTTGCGGCTTTTAGAGCGTTTCGGCTAATGCGCTAAAATGCACTTCGTTACGCTGTGCACCGCAATGCAAACGGGCCAGCACCGTGCATTCACTCCACACCCGCTCTAGTGGAAATAACGTATAGTTACCGACGCCGGAGATTTTCGCTATTCGGAAGCAAATTTGTCGTCGGAACGGGAATTTCCAAGGCAAGCATTGCGGTATAAGCTTACAACGCGTGAAAATTATCTCACCGCGAATAGATAGATTCACACGAGTAAAACTAAGAAAAAGATAGCGAAAATTTTTGTGAATGGAATTCTTTTATAAATTTTTTTTTTTTTTTTAGGCTAATCTATCGATAGCTTGTAGATTTTTAAATATGTTATAGAAGATAAAATTTCGAACAACTTTTTCCATATATATAATATGTCGAGATACTTGCAAAAAATGATTCAATAAATTTTCTTATTTTAACTTTTCGATTTTGAATTCGATTCTGAGTATTATATTAGATAAATAAAATATTTACTCGATTAAAAATTTCACGTTCATTTTCTTTTTTATATTCATAAGTAAACAGAAATATTATATCAAATTATTCGTTAATTTAGAATATGTTGATAAATTCACTATAAAAAATTTAATCCTAGAAATACAATAGCTGGATCAACAATAACCGAGAGAGTTAACCAAAGTTCTCTAATGGGATAAAAATTTTTTTACGTATAATCTCATCGACGAATAAATCTAACTGCTATACTTTTATTATAAATGAGAAACAATCGATTAATATCAATCATGTTTAATTTTATTTTTCAGAATTCTCAATAAATTTCTCTTATATTCGTTTCATTGTCATTTCTTATAGCAATTTAAAAAAATTCTTTTGTTAATTCATTTTTTTCTAATTCTTATATTTCAATTATATAAAATAGTGTTTATCGTGCTCGATCGATATGTCGTAAATCTTACTTACCATCTACGTTCTTCGTGAAATCATTGGCGACGAAAACGTATCTCTTATACGACGAGTTCCCCGAGTGGCTATCGTAGAAATTTTAAAAGATGTAACTCTTTCGTATCCTATCTATGTCTGCCCGGATGAAATATATCGCGTAAAATGTGAAACATGTCGCACAAGGACGCCACGAATCATATTTTTCCTCAGTATACTCAACTGTCAAGCGCATGAAACTTATCGCACTAGATAAAACGCGATAAATAGTGTTTGACGCGAATAATAATGATGTCATAGCCTATTTATTTTCGCAGATTCCGATCTCGTTGAAAGGAACGGTAAATCTTTCCACGTTTTAGTCCAAACTACTTCCAATGACACGCGAGAGATGGTTTTATCGAATCGTTTTATCGCGTGAAACTGGATGAAACCGAATGATCTGATCAATAGAAGAAACTCGTTTTAAAGAAAAACTTCGACCACTGTCAATCTTAAGACACGATGCAAACATGGCGATTCAATAATACTGATCGTGAGGACCTCTGACGAGATCTTGACGTATTAATTTTGAATTTTCGTCACAATTCCGTTATACATTACAATACATTCACTCTCTTTTTTCTGTCTCAAAAATATATAATTAATTAAAATTCCATTTAATAAATGATTTAATTACATGTTTATTATAATTGGCTATATCACTTTAATCCAAATATCTTTCACGATGACACATATATTTAACAGATAAAAGTTGTGAGTATAAAAGGAATTTTCCTATTTTACGCATATGTATATATTATATTACGTAAATATTTTGTGTAAAAGTATATAGTAGCAACATTTTAATGTTCATTTGCTATCAAATACCCGATATTTATATTTATAAATGTTCAAGATATTTTCTGTTAAAATCTGTGATATGGAAAAATATACGAAACTAGATATGTTTATAAAACTTGAGATAGAAATATTTAAAACTTTTTCACGATAAAGGAAATCAGTAATATACAATAGAAATAAGTCATATCTCTAATTTGATAAAAGTAAATGTTATAATAAGATTTATCTTTCTAACAATACACCTGAAAGGTATGTTTCATAAAATTTTATTTTTTTTTTTAGATAAATATGTCTGAGTAATTAAGGAATGGATATTTTTTCAGATAATAATTAATACCTTTATAAATCATATATAACAATGTTAAAAGAAACATTGATAAAATTAATCTACAAAATCTGAATAAAGTATAATTAAATAAATACATAAATTACTATATTTTCAGTTGTCTTAACATTTTTTAAACGTAAAATAAATAAATAAACTCAAAAATTTATTTTCGAGGAAGAATAATTTACTTACATATTTGTAGATGCATCATCGAACCTGTCACGTTCAACTTTCTCATCCGCCATATTTTCTCTCCATGATAGAACAAGAGACATAACCTGTCCCAGTTACTCATCACTTCACACAATGCAATCCAATCTAAAATAACATCTTTTAACACAATACACCTCACGCACATTACGACATACGTTAATCATTTCTTCGTCGTACTTCGAAATTAGCCATCAAGATACGAGAAAACCGCAGGTCTCGACGCTCGATACACCGAGCAATCGCAAAAGAATTCAATCTCTTGTCTACCAGCGACATGCAAAGACCAAAAGAGCACAGATCGAGACTTTTCCTTTCTCACTTCGAAATCGCGTAATCTTGGCCGTGGAATCTCCGGTATTCTCATCTTCATCCTCTTCGTATCTCTCGTTCCCTCTCCTCCTCTTTCCCTCATAGTATCATTAAAATCGCTCGAGCTTACTACGTAGCAAAGTACACGATGGTGTCGCCCTCTCGACGTGAGGGTCTGCGGTCAGAGGTTACGCCGATGGAGACTACGGTAGTTGCTAAATTCTCGAGATGGCAAAGCCACGAGAGAGAAAGAGAAGCAGGAGGGAAATATTCGGCGAGAGCGGCAAAAGATGGACAGAGAAAGAGGATCGTGTGGGTGGGATAGAGTACGGCTGAAATTGTGGAGAAAGAGGGGCAAAGGTGGCCACGGATGAGGGAAGTTGCGGTTACCGTGGTCGCCGCGGTTGCGGCTTAGGCAAATTGAGATAGTTCGCAAACCACCGACCAGCTGACCTAACCGTCACGCCAGGATGCTGGCGGGCCCGCGACTCCTGGGAGAATTTCGCAGTTCAAAAGGAAGCAGTGAATGCGAGAAGCTCGTTTCGATAGCGAGCTGCCTGCGGTTCATTGAATAGAAAAAAATTTACCGACGGATCGCGTAAAATCGGTCATTTTCAAAAACATTTCTCTGAAACGAATCGACCAGCTAGGCTTGCTTACGTTACTAGGTCGTCAATAGGAAAAAAATATCTCGGTAAAAAGAATTCGAGGAATTGATTCTTGTGCTATTATTGCAAATATTTCTTCGTAACGAAGAATAGCTAAGAAATATATGGTACGGTAATTGTTTTTGATTGTTAGAGATGCAGAAAATAACGTCAATATAACGTAATTAACTATTTTATAGATTGTAATATCAAAATAAAATTAAAATATTAATTACGATTCATAAGCGTAAGAATCAATTATTTTTATATTTTTTTATAAACAGATACTAGAAATCACAAGTCTTAACTTGAGATTCAATATAAATTTAACGTTATCGATAAACCATGTTCAATATTATCGGCACGTATTAAATTTACCGAGTTATCGAAAATATCACTGTGATATCAAAGCATCAAAAATCATATCCGGAAAACATTTTATCCAGTAATCGATATTGCGATAAAAATTGTTCTACAAACACCACAAATCGATCTTGATCGCTTAACGCTTATCTCGAGTACGTCCTTTGGATTACTGTATCGATAAGAGAAGAACAATTTTTAACCGTACATTTTGAAGAAATAGGTAATACAAATTATGATTATATGATTTAGTGTTTCACAATCACTCCGATAACTTTAAGAGTAAGAAAAGTATAAAAAAAATTATTATATTAAAAATATTAAACAACATTTGTAATAAACAAAATCTTTTATTTCACGTAAATTTATTTAATGCCACTGTCTGTATTTTAAGAACTATGAAAATGTAATTATTGATATAATTAATATTAATGAATCTGATTAAAAATCTTTTCATATAAATATAATACTTCGCAAATATCTATTCAAACCACTAAATTCATTTCACACGAATGTAACAAAATTCTAAATCACACAATACACTCCTAACCTAATCAAACATGTACACAATTTCAACGATATTCTAATTTATTTTCTCAAAATCGAACCTATATACTAATCATACTTCAAACTTTCCCGTTCTTTAATATCAAATAAAAAACATAAAAGAACCAATATTGAACAAAATCTTTATCTTCCAAAATCAAGATCATTCGGCAACGAAACGTGACAAACCAGTCGTACCAACCTACGTGGTATAGAGGATTCGATCGATTCACAATGAAACGCGCGCTTCCCATTTGAAACCGACGTACCATCAGCATGGTGCAACATTACACACGTCCACGGCAAAGTGAGAATTCGAACTGGCGAGCGTGAAACGGAGAGAGCCGCAATTACAAACGGGACCTGTCGGTATCGCAGCATCGATCAAAACGGTTGAGCACCACTGGCAGTAGGTAAACAGTACTGTATTGTATTTGTGTGCTTAGCCCGGCAAATATTAGCCACCATATCGCTTATGGTGCTTGTTGAGCGAGGGTGATGGTCGATAGTTTCCGTGGTGGGAGTGGTGAAGAGGCTTCGTTCGTGAGCGTTCCGTGAACGGGTGCGCGTGTGTATATACGCGACGCGGCTCACAGGCTTAGCTCTCGTACATAAGCACGCAATACGCATGTCGCCCAGCCTGCTGGCGCGGTGTGTGATTCGTGGCTGAGTGTGTTTGTCCATCCGTCCATATAGGGCTGTTTGTTCTTGCTCTCCTTGTTTGAAGAACGTCGGGATCCCGGTCTGTGCAAACTCCTCATTATTGCGAACAATGTACACAGGGCATAGCGCGTGCGTGCGTGCGTTTCCGCGCTCTCGCGTATGCCAACGTATGCGCGCGCATACAACCCATGTGACTAGAATTGTCTCACGATGTGTTCTTTATATGTGCACATATTATATATATATATATATATATATATATATATGTGTATCATATACATATATACGTATATATACACATATATTTATGCGAGCATGAAATGTTACACATGACAACGCAAATCGGTGTGTACATGTGCATGTATATATATATATATATATATATATATATATATATATATATCGAGGCGCAATCGAATTTTTTTCGCGACCCGGTAAAAACATTCCTCCATCCCCTCGTATTGCTGATTGCACACAGAGACTCGAGTGTTCTCGTTGGCTTCGATTGCGCTCGTTTAGCCCAGCGAGAGCATAAAACCGCGAATCAACGCGCACCAGAGTAGTATGAGAATTGCATTAAGAAAAAGGATTCGACGACGCGTGAAACGCGATCATCGATTCGCGTCAATTTTTTTCCACACATATATACGTTCTTTCTCTCTCTTCTTTTTCTCTATACTGTACACATACATACACGCAATAGAAGCGGACAATCAGGTGAAAAACGATGGTAAATATATATATATAATGACGACGTATGACGATCGCGTATCGCAGCGTATTCGCGATTAAGCATTTCTGAACTTTTTAAGAGTTCGAACACGTAGTCGTCGCGGAGTATCGTTTAGAAAGGCCACGCTTTGCTAAGTACTCCCGCCGGTCCTCATGTTAAATGCTAGCCACGATTTTAATTTGTAATCAGGACTCGAGATTCGAAATAAGTAATCGATACGCGTCGAAGAGAGCCGAGGCCGTCTTGTAACAGACCCGCGGCTGTCTTTCCGGTCTGGCTATGTCCAAGAGTGTGCAAGGGCCGAGCATGAAACTCGTATGAAGGCATTTTAATGATGACGAGGGTCCAAGTACCATTTCCCGAATTCGGCCATTAACGCGGAAATTGACGGCAGTTTTAGGGCGGACCGTCCCAAATTGCCCGGAGCCCTTCAATTTCGTAGTCGATTCCGTCCCCTCGCAATAATCCACACCGGCTGGTGCAGGAAATTCGACGGGGGGAAAGCAGCTATTCACGGCGCAACCCTGTTGTTCTCACCTACTCACCGGCTTGCTTAAAACTTCCAGTTTCTTCCTTAATTATACCATGAACAGGACCCGGGTCTCGATTTCTGATTCGATAGACCACGAGGAAGGGAATTTCATCGTTATTTTTACACGCAATGCAGAATTGGTTGTGTATATTTTGTATTTTTTTCTTCTTTTTGTTTTATATTTTTATCGTGGGAACGGCCATTTTTTTTTGTTTAACAAAAATATGGTTAAAAATTAGGTTATGTCCCATAGAAAATAATAATCGATTAATGAATGACAATTATGCTGATTATGACTGCACTTTATATATATATGACTCCAATTCACGACGAATATTTTTTTATTAATATAATTTATAATTTATATGGGGCACCAATAATACGGACAAATTATAGTTCATATAAATTATATTTGATTAGAATAATTTTGTTGATGAGATTATGTATAAAATATAAAAAAAATTGTTTCTCGAAATTTCAGCTCGTTGTTTCGTTTAATTTTCTTCAGTTCCAAAAGAGATTTTTGAAATAAAAAATTAAAAATTATCTAAGAAGTAAAAAATTCAAATTTTGAAATACAAAAATTTTCGAAATAAAAAAGTCCAAGTTTGAAAAATTAATGAATTATATATCTTTTTTTCTACGCGTGTTAGAGTTTAAAATAAACGTACAAACATCGCAAACGGGCGCGCGTGGGATACGCAAATGATAAATGAGAGGATGAGTGTGAACAGCGATAATTGTGGAACGATTATACACAGTTAGCCACAAAATGTAAAAACGGTTGCATGACAAGGCATGAAAGCGAAACAACAATGTTCCGAGATGAGAAATTATCGACAACAGAATCTTTGACATGTATTGCAAATAACATAATAGAAAACTTACAAATGTATCTTATCTATTTTATTTATTTTTTTTTCGATACGAAAAGCGAATGTGAATAAATTTCTCTTAAAATATTTTTATCTCAATTTTTCATGATTTAAAAAATTAAAAAAAGTAAAAAAAGAAAAAAAAATATTGATAAAAAGATAATATTCATTTCATTGAGTAAGTAAGTTTCACAATATATATATTTGTGTCACTTTAGAACGATAATAATAACGAAATAATCTATATTTCTCTAGAATTCGCAAGCGATTATAATAACAGCGATAGTTATTCAACGCGTATTAACAAATTCATGGAATTGAAAAATTTATCTCACGAGATTATTTCTACGAATTAACCACGGTAATTTTTATTTCGCCAAGGAAAATTTTTAGAGAAACGTTGTACAAATCACGCACGTTTAAACGTGCATTCCTATAAACTCCAATTAAATATCTATACATACTTGATCAATTAAATCGGCCGTGCGTGAGAACGATACGATATGTATAAATTAAAACAAAGAAATCGTATCTTAAAATAAGATAAACTAATGTAAACGCATTAGCCTATTAAACGTACACGTATATTTGTCAGATAATCATTGATATCAGCTCAATAAAAAGTATATAAACACACGCCTACTTCTATCTTTTATCTCTCTAAAAAAAAAAAACGAACACTTATATTACATAAATTTTTGACGAATTTTTCTCGATTATCGTCGTGTCGTCTTATGTAATCCCCCAATTATAAATACTTAAAAATCGATGCTCTAAAAGAGGATCTAAAAAGATTCCTTA